TTTCCTCTTGTCTTTTCTCTTTTAGAATACAAACAACAAGTTGAAGCTGGTGAATATACATTTGAAGAACTTGCCCGAACTGAAAGCGATTGCAGTTCAGCTCATTCTGGTGGTGATTTAAATTTCTTTAGTCGTGGTCAAATGCAAAAACCATTTGAAGATGCTGCATTTAAATTAGAAATTGGTGAAATGTGTGGTCCTGTATATACAGATTCTGGAATTCATTTAATCAAACGAATTGCATAATAAAACAATAATAGGCAATTAAATTGAATATAAAACTTGAAATATTTCACCCTTTTGCATTTGATTTAAATAAAAGATTATGCTTATTAATAGTACTTGATTTCCTTTCTTTCTTAAAAGTCAGTAACCCAGTATTTCGGTTAACTGTTTATTTATTGTAAATTTTCTACATTTTTTGGACTGAAGTGGTTAATAGTGATTTGGGAATTACTTTTGTATATCATTTCATGGTGTTTTGTCTTATGTAAGTTGGATTGTCTATTCCTTAAGTTTTTTTTATTTATAGCATAATGCTAGATAATATCGCATCAACAGTGAATGAGAATTCTTGACTTTTCTCTATACTGAAAGAGTTGATTATACTAAAGTATTTTATTATCATTGATGTTGCAGATCAACATCATAACTATAACATAGAACTAGGAATTTAAGAGTAGATTACACGAGATTGGGACCTGTGACTGGTTAAAACACTAAGTAACAACTCAACATTAGTCTTGATTGTAAATCGACTTGAGTTTCTGTAATCCATCTAACAAATTATATATGTGAATTATCCATCCAATTAATCAGTCATCAGCAACGTAGAATCTGACACATGCATATTTATAGGTTCAAGTTGTCACACTACATTGGTGCGATTAGATGAAATTACCAATATAATTGCCTGAGTAGTAGAGCCCCCAAATGCCCTGGTATGGCCGACAGTGGGCACAGTCAGCTCTCCCTCTCGAAATGCTCTCACATGGCCACGCGTATATAGCCTCTGCCAGGGAAGTCCTACTCACTGCCTTCTGGTGGCGGGAGTGTTGTTTACGAAATTGAGATTACGTAAAGCGAATGTCCGGCGCTTTTACCAGGTTGGTGGACACCGTAAGTTCACCTAGGGGAGTTGGAAAACCGTGATTTCAAACCAATTGTGCACATGGGCTCCAGGATCCTGAAGGAACAAATGGCGTATGAACCAATCGTTGGTCACCGGCTATCATGGGACTGCATCTCCTTACGTTGCTCCACTGCCTTGTGGATTAGACCTTTAAGTCGAAAGCTCGGGGTGTGGCTCCCTAAGAAAACCACGTGCTTCGGTTTGGGCACCCAGGCAGTATCACAGCTCTCACACATACCAAATGGGATTTATGTGACGCATATGTATCCGGTGACCCCTTGTACTAATATCTATTTGTTCAAATTAATAGGTAGAGTAGTAGAAATACTAGTAGTGTTAGCCTTAGTAGAAAAGATTAGGCATAGGAAACATGATTTATGAAGAAAATGAATTCTCAGGAGTACAATGTAGCTTTAAAATTGAGAATCTAAGAGAAGACAAATTGAGCGGGTCTATGGTGGATATTTGTAGCTCAGGTGGATGATTTTGATGGAGTTTTGTTCTCTGAGCTGGATGGTTTGGTCATGGAGCTTTCGTCGTTCTTCTGAACGACATCATCAGCACAAACTTCAGATAGAAGTGAAGTGTTCGAATTTCTCCATATGCGTTTCACAGCTTGTTCTGTACACCTTGACATTGATTGGTTCTTATTGACATTGTTTACTTCTTTGTTTTGGTTGTCTCCCATCGGTTTGATTTTTGTTCCTATATCTGTGCATAATTTTCCTGATTGGTTGATAAATTGGATCGATATCAATGTGCTTGATGACTGCTGATTGACCTGAGTGCCAGGATTCTTAGAATTCTCTGGTGGTTTTGGAATTTCCTCTGTCCAAGATTTCCACATTTCGAATGAGTGTCCGCAGTTGTCCACGTGTATTGATATAAGTGAGAAAGTATCATGGTGTTTGACTGCTAATTGGTGTTCATTTAGGCGAAGGTGAAGGGGGCGTCCGCTTTGTCCGATGTAGTGTGTTTCTCAGTTGGCACAATTTATTTTGTAGATGATGCTAGGTTGGTAACCATTTCAAGTATTTATCTGAGACTAATCATTAAAAAAATAGTTTCCCACCCCGTATTTATTTAACAGAAAGGATTTGACAATGCTTTTAGGATTCCGTAGAATTAAGGTTTGTTCGGTCAAGTAAAGGATGAAAGTGTTATAAATTTCTTATGAATTCAAAGACTTGTATTGTGAGTTCGAATTCCTATAACTTCTACTATCTGTAAGAGGCGAATTCAAACCCCACAAAGAAAACTAGTAAGAACATGATAAATCACTTTAAATGACCTATTTCTATCTACTACATGACTGCGATCGATCAAGTGAGGGTACGCTTTCCTAACCATGAAGAGAGATGTTCACTAACTCGTTGGATCAGTTATTTGGTTGTGCACCCTGTATAGCTTTCTCAATAAGAGCAGCTGAATTCGTAGATACACATAAATGTGGCTGAACCAGGTAACTTCTTTAGTTGAGGAATCACTATAGGTAGGATGGAGAACGATAGACATTAAACGGCCTCTTCATTATCCTGGTCATTTTATCTCGTAGCATATCACCAGCTATATCCGTTGAGTTGTAGCTTCAGGAAGAGAGGTTTCTTACTAACCGTTGATGCCACTATCTTCCTGTTGGCTGCATGAAAGCATTTCTTCAGAAAGTTTTATGGATAACTTATTTCAATCGACATATTATGAATACGCCCTGGTTTCTTGTTTGTAGTATCGTCTGAGCAAATCTTCCTAGCTCTGTTTGCCCACAAATGCCCTGGTACGACCGAGAGTGGGATGTTCAATGAGATCCAGTTATAGAAATTTGTATATTGACCATTTCAATAAATAGTTTCTTAATGAGAATCAATCAAAAGTTTGTGAGCTTCAAATGGTTTAGAAATTTAGCAATTTATATATGAACTCTGTGTACACAGACAGTAAGTACAACTTGTAATTATACCATATCTTTCCTACAACTTCTAGTACATCTTAGTATGATTAAGAAACTAAGAGTATTTTATAATAAATTGGCTGGATACCATCAGCAATAGCCGACTGTAATAGAGGACAAACCAGCTTCAAGCTTGAGGAAATTAGGAAAAGATGTTGGAAGTGAATAGGGTATACATTACAGAGGCAGACCCTCACTTGGAATCCTGAAGTGAAACTCATAAGTGCAAGGCCAAAGAACACACTGCATCGAGAATTTGAAATAGACATGAAAAGAATGAATAGCAACTGGATGAAGAATGCTGATGATAGGCATATGCCCCTCCACGAGGGTTAACAGGCGTAATGAAGTAGGTAAGTATACTTGTTAGTAGGTTTACGATGAATTGTCTACGTTCAAGTGAGAATTCTTGGCAGCGGAAGTTTAACCGTGTCAAGAGTGAAAGACAATTACATAGTGTATTATATAACTGTTGCTTTATATTCCTAATTTATTAAAGTTGGATATATGAAGCAATAGGTGTGAACTTATAGCAGCTCTCATAAAATTCACTTTTGCTCACAGTTAATGTTGTTCAATACTTCGCTTAGCATCGTTTTGATTTCACTATAAATACGCCTTTGTATACGCTCACATACACACACATATAAACCTCTGTGCTCCAATTCGCTCGATGTGTTTGTAACCTTATTATCTGTGCTATCCGACAATAAACTATAGTAGACGTTTATTGATACCTTTCGAATTTATACACCGTTGGGACATATTGAATAACGGTTATCAGGCTGATTGTTAAACGAAGCGAAGCCACTACAAACTCACTGATTGAAGGGTTAATCGATCACTATGTGACTTGAAAGTTGAGAATTCAATCCCTTATGGGAACATTGGTAGATGTCCATGAGAAGTCCTATTTTGTAAGTGAGTAGTTATCTACTGATCTCTTGTTTTCACTAGTACTTCAATGGAAGTTATTTAATATCATAAGTAAATGTTAGTTTTAACTAAGACACTGATTTATGGTAGTAACGTTAGAATAATGATAATAGATGATTTTCACTGAAAGGTACTTTTAAGAATTGTACATTCAAAAAGACTGTTTTCTTCCCTGAGTTTATATGGCCTTCTTTAAAAGGTTTTATTGCATAACTACTACTAAATTATCTAACAATGTACTTATTCATACTGTACGGAGCTGAAACTTAGGGAACTAATACAACTATCATCAAGAAGGTACAAGTATTTATATATAATTGTCTTGCAAGATAATCGATATACAATGGCCGGATACAATCAGCAACAGCCTTTTGTGGGAGAGAACAAACCGTTTTCCAGCTGGAGAGGAAATTAGGAAAAGACAATGGAAATGGACAGGACATACACTACACAAATCGTCAAACTGCATCACGAGACAAGCTCTAACTTGAAATCCTGAAGGAAGGCGGAAAAGAGGAAGGCCAAAGAACACATTACATCGGGAAATAAAAGCAGATATGGAAAGGACGAATCACAACTGGAAAGGACTGCCCAGGACAGGATTAGATGGAGAATGCTGGTGAGAGGCCTATGCTCCTTCACGAGAAGTAACAGGCGTAAGTAAGTAATTTAGTATAAACTTACTTAAGCTCCATTATGATTAGGTTATTATGCCCAATAGTTTGTAACAACGTTCTATCAAATAGGATGTAAGCTCTCCCTCTCTAAATACTCTCATATAACCAATTGTATACAACTACTGTTAGGGAAGTCCTACTCAATGCGTTCTCGCGACATTACTGTTATTTACATAATTGAAAGAACGAAAAGTAAATATCCAGTGCTTTAATCAGGTTGGTGAACCCTCCGTGTCCATCTAGGAGATTTGGAAAACTAGAATGGAAATTCTATAATAAATCTATATTTATATATATATACAAAGTTTTAAAACAAATTTTCTACTGTATAAAAAAGTTTTTGTTTTGTTTTCATTACATCACAGATAATAATTAATTCAATGTAATTCTAGAGAAAAAAAAAGAAGAAAATAATCGATTATGAAATGATCAGTTCAACTAAATACATTTTCATCCTCTCCCTCCCCCTCCTCCACCTCCTCTTGTTCATTCTCTTCATCCTCCCATGGGCGCCAATATTTATTTATTCTTATTTCTTTTTGTAAATTATTGATTTTTTGTATTTGATTATATTCATAGAACTGATTATTTTGTTTTATTGATTTATTGATTTTTGATTGCTCAAATGAATGAATGAATTGATTATTATTATTATTATTATCATTATTATTCGATAATTTTAATCCTTTCCTTTTATTGATTTTTATTTTCATTGTTGTTATGGCTGTTGTTAATGGTGACGAGATTGGCGCCGATAATTTCATATTTAAATTTTGATCTCTATTAAAATTTTCAATATTTTCTATGATTTCAATTAATTTATCTAATAATTGTATATCGGACATCTATTGTTTTAAAATAATAAAAAAATATAATAAGAAAATTAAATAAAAGAAAAGAAATATAAAGTTGAGATCATGATTAGTCAATTGAAGCTAGACCACCATGGAATACCTGGAGACAGTAGACAGTCGTTTCATTCTGGTATGAGACTTCATAGTAGTGCTCATTCACGATTCTAGTACAAGACTTGTTAGTCACGCACGCGAACGCTTAATCTCTAGATTACTGAGCCGGCCAATATTCAACAGTGTTAATGTCTAACTTTAATCCATCCCTGAAATTGAGCCACCGTCCATCATTGCGTAGGTGTGCGAGATCGATAGGTTCTGAATTCAAATCGCTTGAGGCGAAATCGTGGATACGTACTGCTGTGGAGTGCCACAACAGAACGAAGCGACCGTCTAGTGCTTCCAGGTTTTCCATAGTGCTCTAGCTTCAATTGACTCATGAATTTCAATTATTAATTTATATACAAACGGAAGTCAGATATCAACATTTAACTAGTTTTGTGAACAGAAATGAAAAGTGTAATTAACCTATTTTTTAAAATCAGTTAGTCTTTTTGATAAACTTTGATAATGCCATGAGAAGGTGAAGGTTATCGGAATTATGTAGTATGTTTGAGCAATACATTTCGAACAATCTCATTACACATAGACATGTTAATAACATTTATATGTGTGAACTAAAAGGTCAACTAGACAGATTAAAGGTAACAATGAAAAATAAAGTACGCCAAAACGATTTACATATCAAATTCACTTGGTGTTGTTTACTTGTATCTTCCCATTGTTATTTAGGACTGCAATTGATCAGTCTCTTGTTAGCATATATCCATCATGTGAGGATTGCCTCGATATTGCCTTAAGTCATAAGCTTTTTAAGAAAAGATGGATAGTGGTTAGTAGTGGAATCCAAGACGCGCGTTTCATCCTATTTGGGACTCGTTAGTTTATATGTATACGCGGAAATATGTACATAGGGAGAAGTAATTGTGATCTGTAAATTAGGGTGGCGGAGCACATACTTAAATGGCTACAGAATACAAATGAATTCCAATAGTCAAATAAGATCACAGGATAGACAGACATCTTTCTCTATTGAGAAACATTCGGTTGAGACTGGTCATAAGGTTATTATCAAGTCAGCATTTGTAGTGTTGTACAAAAGCCTTCAAGAGTATATACTAAGGTTTATTGAGGCCTTGGCTATACGGAAACTGAAACCTCCTTTATGCGTTCAACAACAATTTGTCCCTACACTGGTAATACTGATTTATTATTCAAAGTGGTTATCACATTGTTTTTGTTTACTTTATTTTTTATTGTTACGACTTACCTTTAATCTGTCTGGTTGACCTTTTAGTTTTCATATGAAAGTGTCTTAACAAGTATATGAGTAACCTTTTTTACTGTTCATTTAATTAAAATTACAATTGAATGAGCTCATCGTCAAGTACTTGTTCCTACTTATTTTCATAGGTTAGAATATGGATTCAGAAAAGGCAACCAGTTAGGATCGCTATTCCTTATCCAATATAATGAAGTTTACCTAAAAGTCAAGTACATAGAATTATACTTAGTTAATAAGTTTAAGTATTCAACTCTCAGATGGTCGTTTGAGGTAGTCAACAGGAAACCCTGGACCCGGGTTTCGTGCTATCTGGCATTCTTCAGCAAGGTGTGCCTGTAATCTTAAGGGAACTGATGCACGCCGATGGATTCGATCTAAGGTCACCCACCTTCACAATCAGAAACGTTACCACTGAGCTATCCGAGCCACGACTGGTTTCTTGTAGGACTTACATATATTTACAATTGATTGATCAATGGGTGGTAATCAATGTCATGTGTATCAATTCATTCTTAGTGCAGATCAAATACTATCGACTAAGTAGCAATGTGGCCACTAGTCTAGGTGACTCGACATTGCGTGCACTATATTGGGATGAGATGGTGGTTGGAGGTATTTGACAAGAAAACCTAAACCCGGGTTTCGTACCATCAACTACATAACCACGAACTCATTCTGTAATTCACCCGATTTAAACTAAACAACAAAGTTGGTCATTAAAAAGAGTCCAATAATGAACTAACCTTTTCGCCACCAAGAAATGAATGTATTCGATCATATTCAATTCTTTCTAGACGTCGACGATATTGTTCTATTGATGCTTTTGTAAATTTTACCTAATGAAGTATAATCAAGATAATTTCATTATAAGCCTGATATAAATTTATATGCAGTGAAGAGTTCTTAAATTGTGTTTTTTTCTCTCTCTCAGATATAGATATCACTAGTTATTTGAAACATATTTATTCATCATAATACTTGGACATTTAATAGTTGAATTCATGAGTCAATTGAAGCGAGACCATCATGGAAAACCTGAAAGTACTGGATGGCCGTTTCATCCTAGTATGGGACTCCTCAGCGGTGCTCATCGACGATCCTACCTTGTGAGATTTAGAAAATAGCAACCTAGTATTTAAGTAGTATATCAAAATCGGTGATATTAAACCGCTTCGAAAATCTAATGATGCTGTTAAGAAAATATTGAATAATAGTAGACTATCTGAGTAGTTTAGTGGCAATATTGATTTCCTTAATAACAAATTCATGGGTAGCATAATAGTAACATTGGATTCAACTTTTTTTGATCATTTGGATGCTTTCTAATTTCAAGAATTATTTTTATTCATTGTTTTTATACCTATCCATTCTTCATCACGGTTATTGTTTCTGTTAGGTGTTCACTCAAGATCAAAGTCCTTGGTTCAAGTCCCGTTTGGAGGATCGTGGATGCGCACTGCTGAGGAGTCCTACATTAGAATGAAATGGCCGTCCAATGCTTCCAGATTTTTAATAGTGGTTTTAACATTGATCGGTTCATAATGTCAATGTTATTTACTATAAGTCGACTGCCGTTCGGGGTTCCATTTATCACTCTGTTGGTAGTTCAACTGTTTGAATGGATGCCTAGATGATGAATTTCTTTGTACGTTCCCCAGTTAGTTATATCATGAATAGTAACTAGTAGGCAATATCAAAGGATCCATTGAAAAAAGTTATATGATAATCAAGACTAATCGAGACATTATTTATCATCAATTAAAAGCAGCAAGTGACAGGTGTCCTGAACTTCGGAACTTACTGAACTTCTAATTTATGCCTATTGAGTTCTAGTCTCAGTGAGAACATCAGCATAGAGATGTAGATATGTCCAACTGTTAAATTCCCAAAAAGATTTGATTGTTTCCCACTAATCGAATCTCTAATTTTATCAAATTTAATGACAGAAAAATAAGGGGAAATACTTTGTAAATTCACTTGGTGTTGTTTACTTTTATCTTTCAACTGTTATTTAGGACTGCAATTGATCAGTCTCTTGTTGACATATGTGCATCATGTGAGGATTGCCTCTATATTGCCACAAGCTTGTTAAGCAAATATGGATAGTGGCTAGTAATGGAATCCAGGACGCGCGTTTCATCCTATTTGGGATTCGTCAGCTGGATGTCCCTGCATCTCGGAATTGATGACTACTCCGGGACTCGAACCCAATACCGTTTGCTTCAAACTCCATTGCATTATTCACTTAGCTACTAACTCCTGAAATACTTTCTTCATTGAAAAAGTTATTTACGAACAAAAATATCCGTTTAATGAAGAATTGAATTTGTAAACATTCAAACAGATAACGATATTAATATTCATTACCTTGTCAGTTATTGAGTCATTATGTACAAGGAATTTATTTTGTTCATATGGCTTAGCAGTTATAAGATATAATGGATCTGATTTATATTCAGTAGTAGAAGTGTTTGTTAAAGGTATACCAATCAGTTTGTCAGCTGCATATTTGAGTATTTGAATTCGTGTCATCTACAATGCAATAACAAAATTAACTATTGGACAAGGTGTAGAAAATCAACGATAAAGACAATATGGAATAATGTCATTTGTATTAATAGATCGTGTTAACAGCAATCTTCCTAGATCCATCAAACTAGGAATCCTACAGATGGCTGAATCAATAGCTATACGGATTAAACAGCCAGAGCTTTGAATACAAGAGAAGTATGTTCAACCGCTCCTATTACCTTGGCCCACGATCCCGCCCCGCGGGCTTTGAACTCAGGATCTATTAGTCTCGTGCTCTAACGCTTATTCTCTAGACCACTGAGCCGGCTGGCATCCAACGGTGTTAATATCTAGCTCCAATCAATTCACGAAATTGAACCACAAATCCGCCATTGTCTTCAGTGAGTTACCATCTCACAACAGACCTGCTTGAACTCCATTTGGTCACTCCTTCTCACTAGAACTCCAGGAAATACCTCTTGAAGCCAGTCACTAGTAAGCATATGCAGATTAATATCATATTATTTTATATGACAAACAATCTTTGATTCATGTTATTAATTTTAAATGTACTTCGCCTTAAACCTGATCATCATTTGGATAATTAATTTGGATATGAGATAATTATAGAACCTGATGAGAAATTATTAAGAATATTCTTCACTCACAAAATTGTGTTTTAATATAATGGGAACTTTTCAGTTTATTTATTTAAACACATAAACATTGGTAGGAGGATGCACCAAATAGATATGCGCCACACAAATCATTCGATTTAAGTTAGAGCTGCGATACTGCCTGGGTTCCCAGACCGAAGCAGGTGGTTTACTTAGAAAGTCACACCCGAAACCTTCTACTTAAAGGTCTAATCCATAAGGGAGTGGAGCATCGTAAGGAGATGCAGTCCCATGGTAGCCGGTGACTAACAGCTGGTCCATACACATGATCCTGGAACGCATGCGCATCACTGATTTGGAATTAGAATTTTCCAAGCTTAATATACCATCTAGTCGTCAATGTTTATTAAGCCAGCAATTCGTGTTAACTAACATTGATGTCTTAATGAAATTTATTGTAGACATAGAATTCTGTGTGCAGATTTGAAATTTTTAATATCTGACATAAAGAAAGCATGTTTAACCTGAAAACAATTGATTCTTATTCAATAAGTCAACTATACATGACTCAGTCTGTTAATCAGAGAAAATATTACTGAATTATTGTATTGGTAAGTGTTATGATTTTAGGGCCCGAGATCTGACTCCAATTAAATCGTATGATTGATCGTTATTGAATGATTGCTATCGAAATATTATATATGTTACCTGGCTATTCTAGTATATAATGATCGACTTAAATTACGTTGATGAATAGCGGAATTAAAATAAGTCAAATAAGAGAATGGATTTTTGAATACATATATTTTATACACTTGTTGATCTGGACAGGACAATTAGACGGACGAAGTGGATAGAACAGAACGAAGCGAAATGATGCGCGGTGAAGAAGGCATGTGAGCCAACTCGATTTAATCAAGCGTTAATCAATATTTATAGTTAGGTAAAAATAAGTCACAGATGTGTGATGAGTAGGATAAGACGTACACACTCACACACGTTCATATAAAAACAATCAAGGTTGATAAGTGAATGATTAACAAGATCAAAACATGACTGAAGAATAACGGATAAAATTGACCTGACCCGAAGCTAGAATAAGGTTATATGGGCTTAACATAGTAACTGACACTAAAATGTCTTTCAAGTATCTAAATGATTTTCTATACAGTAAGAAAGATTACGCATAAAACTTACCTCTTTACTGAGTGCTAATATATTGCGAAGATGATCTAGACGATGATTAATTTTCTTACGTCGTAATCTTTCTGCATCTACCTTCTTTGTTGAAAAGAAGAAAAAAATTTACTGAAGTATATTTATTCATTTAAAAATAGTCAATAAAATGAATAAGTAAAGATTTGAAAGGGAAGTTGGATAACAAAAGAGAGAAATAGATGCATTACTATTGTAGTCGAATGAGAACATAAGTGAGGACAATCGAATCTCTTAGTAAAATCTGAGAATCATACAGTAAATAGTTCATTTGCAAAATATTATAATCAGAAATGGGTATTGTGAATACTATAGTAATTTAATAGTTAAATTCATAAGTCAATTGAAGCTAGACTACCATAAAAAACCTGGAAGCAGTGGACGATTATTTCGTCCTAGTATGGGAATCCACATAAGTGCGCGTCGAGGATCCCACCTTGAGGGATTTGAACTCTAAGCCTTCGGTTTCGCGCTCGACTGCTTGACCTCTAGATCACTGAGCCAGTATCAAACGGTGTTAATTTCTAATCTGAACCAATTTACGAAATCACGTGATCATCTTCAATTGTACTGAAGTAGATACCTGGATACATGGATTAGCTTCACTGATCACGATTTCTCACTAGAACTCTAAGAATTCTCTCACGAAGCTAGTCACTAATCAGCACTAATCAGTATTAGGTTGTGAATATTGTTAAGTTTTCAATTGAGATCATGAACCGATTACTGCTAGACGATCATTGAAAACCTTACTGTACTGGATGATCGTTTCATTCTATTGCGAGACACCTTAGCAGCACGTTCACACAGGAGATCAGAGGTTTTGAATTCGATTCCCACGACTAACATTGTGGATGCACACATTTCAGGAATGCTAAAATAAAACGAAACGATACTCTAATACTTTCAGGTTTTCAATACTACCCTAACAACATTAATCCGTTCATAATCTGAATCAAAAATTGTTTACAATCTCCACAATATTATCAGAATAGAACTTACTTTTTTCTTACGTTCATCCATTATTTCCATTTTGTTTATTATTATTATTATTATTATAATCAATGTTATTAATATCCAATCTATCTATCCATGTACAAACGTCATTCCTTCTTGTTTGATTTTGTTGTTGCCGTTGTTCTTCTTTTTTTAAAAAAAACGAAACAAAATATAAAAGAAAATATTCTCTTTTTATTGATGATTTCACTATTTATAGTTTTCTTGATTATTGATTCATTATTGTTTTCACTCGTTTCACGGTTGGTTTCTTAGAATATCATTTATTGATTGATTGATTGTAGATTATTCATTAACATACCATGAAAATGATAAATATATCTTAGATGGATCAATCACATTTCCCCCTCCCCTCTTTGAAATTCTATTTGGATTTTCTTTGTTGTTGTTGATGAATATGATCTTGTAAGAACGGCAACAACAACAACAACAGCAACAACAATCAAAATGATATTTTGACAATCATGTTTATTCATGTGTAGAATTTTTTTGGCGTTTTTCATTTTTTTTCTATTTTTTTCTTTTTTCTTTCACCTTCCCTCCACCCCTTTCTCTTTCCAAAAAAAAAATAATTATTTATTTATAATATTTTAATCCTACATTTAATACTTTCAAATGGTTGTTGTTTTTCTGAGATCATTCATTTCATCGCCATCAAATAGAATGTGAAGATTATTTATTAATTAAAATTTAATGTTTATTGTATAAACACGAGTTGTTTATTGTTATGATGATGATGATGATGATGATGATGATGATGATGATGATGATGATGATGATGATGATGATGATGATGATGATGATGATGATGATGATGATGATGATGATGATGATGATGAAGGGATGTTTTGATTTGCCACTGGGTTTTGTTGTTGTTGTTGTTGTTGTTGTTGTTGTTGTTGTTCTTTGTTCCCTTTTTTCGAATCAATATTTGTGTTTTTTGATCATTTTTTGTTTGTTTGTTTGAAATTATTGTTTTAGTTGTGGTATACTGTAATTCGAAATCTTTTTTTACTCACATTTATATGCGTACAATATATCTGTGAGTGTGTGTGTTTATGTGTGATTGATGTGTCTTTTTGTAAAACAGAACAAATCAATGGTTGACATCATGAGTAGTCAATTGAAGATAGACCATCATGGAAAACTTGGAAACACTGAACGATAGTTTCATCCTAGTATGAAACTCGTCAACAGTGTTTATCCATGATCCCACCTCGCAGGAGTCGGATTCAGTGTGGTGTGTGTGCTACTTATATTGAAATAAGTAGTATATGTTGTTAGTCATGAACAGAAGGTCTGCAAGCAGAGAGACAAGAGGATCGAACAGTAAAGAATGAAAACAGAATGCAATTTGTATGACAATGCAAGAACAATGAAGTCTGAGTCACTTTGAGACAATCGATGGACCTTTTGCAAATAAAGCATTTACTTTATGATTGTTAGATTTTATGAACAAGTGCTGTAATTTTGTGTTAAGTACATTCGACTGTCCCCACCCGTGTTTTGTTCACTACAGCAGGACCTATAGGTCTTATGCACCAGCGCTTAACAACTAAATCACTAAGCCGGCCGGTATCTAACGATATTAATATCTAACTTCAACCAATCCACGAAATAGAGCGACACATTCACCATTGTCATCAGTGAGCTACTATCTCACAACAGACCTGTTTGAACTCCATTTGGTCACTCCTTCTCACTAGAACTCTAGGAAATACCTCTTGAATCCAATCACCAATGAGCACGAGACTAATAAGTCCTGGGTTTGAATCTTATGAGACGTGATCGCGGGTGAGCATTGCTAAGGAGATCGATACTAGCAAGAAACGGGCGTCCAATTCTTTAACGTTTCCCATGGTAGTCTAGCTTCAATTGACTCATGGTCTCAACCATTGAAATTACCATAATATCCACAAAAACCCTTTCTAATAAAAATGAATCTATTGAAGAAGAAGAAGAAGAAAAACTAATATAAGAAATGAATTGAAATGGCAGAGTTTCATTTAAATAGATAAAAGGAAAACGTGTATGTATGTATGTATAGATGGAGTGAACAGTTTCTCCACTGATCTTTTTCATGTCATAACTTCTTTATATCCAATTATTATTATTAATTGTCAATTATTATCCTTGAATGCATTCAGATAGAAATCTTCTTTAATACTGATAACGATGATGATGATGATAAGGATAAGGATAAGGATTGTAAGATAATGTGATTGTATGTGGTTGATTAGTTGACAGGTTTTGAAAATTGAATAACAAGAGAAAGGTGTGAAATAGAGAAAGTGATTAGAAAAAAAAAGAGAAAAAACAACGAAGAAGAAAAAGAAAAAGACTCTGATTGATTTCATTTCTTCCTGTCAAATATTTGAGAAATTGAAATAATAATTATAATCTGATTAGAATTTCAACAACAACAAAAAGATTTAACCAATTTTTTTCTCGGTTATTTTGAAGGAACTCGAGTAAAAAGAAAAAGAAAAAAAAACAGCAGCAACAACAACAACAACAACAATGGAACATCAAATGTTCCGAATGAATAGTTTTGAAATTTTAATCAAATCAAATGGATTAGTGTTCAGATGATCTTAGACTTGGATTTCATACGAATTGGAACTTGTCAGCAAGGTGTATCTGTAATCTTTAGAGAAATGATACTCTCTTGTCACTTGGCATGACAATCAGAAACGCTAAGACTGAACTATTCGAACCACGACTGATTTCCTGTAAAACTGAGATGTATTTACAATTGATTGATCATTAGGTGATGATCAATGTCATGTGTGTTATGTCCTTCTTAGTTCAGATAGAATCCATCAGGGAGCATCAGTTCTGCCAAGATTACAGATACAACTTGTTGACGAGTGACAAGTAATACGAAACTTAGGTCGGAAGATTTCTGTTGACTACTTCCAACCACCATCTTATCTCAAAATAATGCACGCAAATTCTCGTCACCTACACTAGCAGCCATATTTCAACTTGGTCGATAGGATTCGGTATACACTAAAAAAGACCTGACACACATAACATCGATCACCACCCAGTGATCAATCAACTGTAATCAGTGTTCGTTTAGAATGTTCAAAGGGATTGTTGAATTTTTAGATAAGAAACCACTAGAAACATAAACACATCCTATATCCGAATTGCTGTAATATGGGCCTCTTTAGTAGAGGAAATCCACACATCAAATAGAATTTTAATGCAAGACCTGCATGCTTCATGGTAAACATTTAACATTCAGGTTGCTGAGTCATTTCTCAGTGGTTTACAATTTTAATTTTAATTATTTAGCGATGTTGTGTGAATATTATCCAGGACCACTAGTAGGTAACTGCCTCAACCCTCACATGTTTAATCTCTTTTGGTCATGACTTTTAACTGCAACTCTAGGGATTTCTGAGATGCTAAATACTGACAAACTCACATTAAAAAAACTGCATTTCTTGGCATGTTTTCTGCTTAGTATACTCTACAAAAGAATCAAGGGGTGACTATTTTGGAACTCGAGACTCTAATTACACTAAGCTACGAAATGTTCGAAATTCAACTTTCTATTTAATAAAATGCTAAACATACATATTCCATTATAAAGTTATCAAGTCAGACCGTTGTAATAATACCTAAAAACTTCTTCTATACACAAAGACGGATAGTGCCTTATAGTGTAATTTCAAGACGCGCGTTCCACCATATTTGGGACTTGCCAGCTGGATGTACCTGCATCTCAGAGTTGATGTCCACTCTTAGACTCGAACTCAGTATTGTTTGCTTCAAACACCATTGCGTTATCTACCTGGCTACTGAGTCTTGATAACCACTTGCCTGTGCAGTTAGGTAGCGTTTGGACCAAACGGTATTGGGTTCAAGTCCCAGAGTGAACATCAACTCCGAGATGCAGGTACATCCAGCTGACGAGTCCCAAATATGGCGGAACGCGCGTCTTGGATTCCATTACTAGCCACTATTCATCTTTGCTTAAAACACTTATGACTAAAGGCAATGTTGAGGCAATCCTCACATGATGCACATATGCCAACAAGAGACTGATCAATTGCAACCCTAAATAACATTGGGAAGATACAAGTAAACAACACCAAGTGAACTTAATATTTCTTGTATAAAGTTTACTAGTAGCCAGGATGATAGTTGTTAACTAAGAAGGGTAGTTTGCACATGGAAATGAATTTTACGTTGATTGTCATCGATAAAACAAAACTGATATGGGTTACAGAAATGTAGAAAATATCACTAAGGGCCTGCGATTCCATCAGCAACAACATACTGTCATAGAGAACGAAACAGCTTCCAGCTTAAGAGGAAACTGGGAAAAGACGCTGGAGGTCATAGGACACATGTGGCAGAAACCACCCGACTGCATCACAGAACAACTCTTAACTTGGAATACTTATGCCTAAAGGAAAAGAGCTATACAAAGGGACACATCATTCCGAGCATCGGAAGCTGATATCAAAAGAATGAATGGCAATTGGCGATACCTGAAAAGGATGATAGAGTTGGTTGGAGAATCGCACTTAGCGGGCTGTGCTCCACAAGGTGTAACAGGTGTCAGTAAGTCAGTAACTTGGGATTTTTCCACTCTAGCTTCAATTGGCCTTCCAATCTGAGATCAGTGTTTGATGTTAGGTGGTGGTCAGTCAGTTAGGAAACCTGTTTCACCTAGTTAGGCTTCATTGGAGATGGCATTAGTCGGCAAGACGCCGATGTAGCTGTTCTGTCTCTATTGGAGATTGTTAACTAGCATGAAACCTAACTACGTCGAGGAGAGTTCTCTGTCAATGATCTTGACACTGAAGAATAATTATTATGTGACTCCATCTAACACCCTTCTAGTTTATGATGAAATTGATTTATGGATATATTTCTCTTTGAATTCTCCAATAATATGTGCTCTTTTCACAGATGACCAGTCGTAAAAGGAACAATTAAGTAAATGGACGATTGTATTTTAGTTCATCAGTTTAAAGTTGCCTAGTATTTCTAGACTTAATAGATTTACAACACTAGCGAGATTACTGGATTCATCGAACTGGTCACTTACATTATACTATTTCACTCGGTGATAACAGCTTCAACTATAGTAATGATTGATGAGGGTCTCGATTTCTAAGTGAAGCATTATTTCCTTCAAGACTGTATACCTCCATTGATGATTACCTATGAGCAAAACACATCCGAAGCGGCTAATCGACTATCTTCAATCATTAAATTTTGTCATTTTTTACAAAATAAATCTTCAAGTAGATTTTTCTTCTTCCTCTTCTTAAATATTTGTGAAAAGTGAAAAATTAATTTGTTTACCCTTAGGCATCCTACGTTTGTTTATACAACAACTCTTAATACCTTCTTAGATGGACTTAGTTATTCATTATCATCAATATAAGAGGTGATAATTATATGTACAAATGTATACAAAGCTTTAATTGCAATTATTAAGATGACTTAATGAGAATCAGTATGATAAACCATATATTATTCAAGTGTTAAGGATATATATGCGGAACAAGATTCAGACACAATCTAATTTGAATAATGAGCACTCATTAATATGAATACAAGTGGAAATCCATTTGTTCAAACCGATATGGTTTAAAATGGAAAGAATCAGCATAAACATTATGTGAGTTATTAGTCGATGGTTAGTCTATGTAAAAATTTCAGTTTTACAAAAGATTATTCAGACTTCGAATAGCGCAGGGATAAAGTGTCAGTCTGTGAAGTTATGTGACAGGGATTTGCATCTCACACAAAGGATACGTTACCCTTTATTGGTGATTCCCATGAAACGTCGGTCAAACAAAGTTTCCTAAGACTAATTCCAACTACCGCATAAAATCAAAAGATATAGCACTAAGTGTCGAATCACTTAAACTAGTGGTTACATTGATAAAATTCAAGGAGCAACATAAAACTAAACAGATATGATATTTCACAGATTGGAATCATGAGTCAATTGAAGCTAGACCACCATGGAAAACCTGGAAGCACTGGACGGCCGTTTCGTCCTAGTATGGGACTCCTCGGCAGTGCGCCGTTACCAGTGGAGTTAAACCAGGTCTGTTGTCAGATATCAGCTCACTGAAGACAATGGTATACGGTGGTGCAACTTCGTGGATTGGTTGAAGTTAGACATTAACACCATCTGATGCCGGCTTGGTGGTCTGGTTGGTTAAGCGCTTGGCGCGAGACTGGTGGGTCCTGGGCTCTAATCCCGCGAGGTGCGGGATCGTGGATGCGCATTGCTGAGGGGTCCCATACTAGGACGAAACGGCCTTCCAGTGCTTCCAGGTTTTCCACGGTGATCTAGCTTCAATTGACTCATGATTTCAATCTGTGAAATTTCTAAAATCTCCACAAAACCCCTTCTGAAAATATGATGTTTATTATCACTCAGTGATCGATTAGTTATACACTTGTTATTGATATACCTCTTTATATTCTTAAGCTCAGTCCCACTGTACACTTTGTATAACTCAACCTCATTAAATCACATTTGAATTACATTTCATGTATAATTAACTTTTCACTACAACAAACAATATTATCTATCGTCTTCTGTTTTTCATCTTGTTCATTGCATTATTCGTCGTGTTAACTGAAGATAATGCAGCAGCTTTGATCGACACACCTTCATGTCTGTTAGTTATAAGAGAAACAGAACTTGAAATATGTGTATCAGTTCAAGTTGACGAATTCATACCGGATTCTACATTATTAATAACTAGCAATCAAGTAGTTAAAATACCATACAGCATCATGAATCTGTCAATACTAAGCATTAGATAATAATTTTTGTATGATGTTTAACGATACTATTCAACTACTGGTAGGAAATTAGATGGACATGGCTTAGTAAACAAGCAACAGTTCCATATTGAAATATTGTTTTGTTATAATTATGAATGGAAACAAGAGTTAGGGAAACCATTTTACATTGTAAAAGTATTAAAGAAATTCATTTTATATAATTTGAGATGGTGAAGAGTTGTAGCTCAGGTGGATGATTTTGTCCTCCGAGCTGGGTCGTTTGGTCGTGGAACTTTCATCGTTCTTCTAAACGATATCATCAACACAAACTTCAGGTAGAAGTGAAGTCTTTACTTCATCATTTCATATAATTAAGCGTGGCGACAGTTCGTATAGTCACTGACTGTTAAACAGACTTCTGTTGGTAGGTGTAGATTACCAGGTTAGAGTCTACACGATTATCGTAGACAATGATGAGGGATGTTAGAAGACATGTCTCGGAATTAGTCACAACAACTCAGATACATTCACGTTTCCCCTTCAAATACTTACTCTTTATCCTAAAAATTCATTTTCGCCTCGAATTTTGTTGTCTAAATCTAGTGTTTTCGACTATCATTGAAACTATTACTACTTGTAATAGTCTGTTATTTGTTTTCATAATTTCATCTCACTGTATTGATATGATATGGCAACTTCAATCGATACAGATATATACCAATTTCTAAGTACCTAACGTCTTATTGACTACTATTATTAGTTGAGTGTTATGGATGCTTTTAATTCAACTCAAATTCAAAAGTGATAATGTAACAGGGTCAATCAATATGAGACTAAAAACTGCATTGACAAGAACTTATCCTGCAGCTAAATTGATTATCCTGTCCAAAACAACATGTTCTTTGACACAATCAAAGGTCGACAAGTATCCCTTTCATGTTACCACCAACTATGTATACAAATTTACATGTATCTGCCAAAGCAGTTACATTGGTAGAACAGAAAGGAGAGCCTAAGTTCGATTCGAAGAACATATTCCGAAGGGTTCAAGATCAAACGGATTAAAAGCATTCAGCAGCGCTATCGCAGGACATCTTGACGTAGGACATGAAGTCGATACACTGAAGTCCTTCAAGGTGATTAACAAACAATCAAACTCAAACCTTTTGAAATTTGCCGAAGCGATAGCAATCAAACGTCTTAAACCAGATGTATGTATACAAAAAGCGACAGTAATAAATCTTCCTTTGCCCTGGTAACATTAACCCCCGTTTTACTTATTTACTACGTCATTCACTATTCCAACTCTTTCTGAATTTTTAAATTACATCATTCATAACTGACTGATTTCAATTCATATCTCTCTTTATTAACATTAATCTATTTTCAGTTACTTCATTACATAATAATCGAATAGGTGTTTTTAATCCCATGATTTCTAATCACTATTCCAATGTTCTGGAACCTTCCCTCCCAAACTTTATTTGAAACAACATTTTATGACCTCATTAACTCTATCGGAATCTTCGCTACATCATGATGCATATATGCATCCATAATCACCCTCTTATGTATAAGTATGTCAACATCTGTAATGACGTTGATTTTCAAATATTTTAGGTTGTAAGCAGCTGATGAGAACCTAACGAACTAAAAAAATGAATCCATTTATTATTCTGCACCAATCTTTGTTCTAAGTGTTCTGTTAAAATGGTGTGTAGAAAACGAGTCGTTTGCAGAAACATTTTTCCACTGAACTTTAAATGTTTCAGATGACTAAAATCAGAATGTCTTGCTTGACTTGCAAATTAAACACATGTACAATCGACCTACAATTTATGATCATTAAATAAATGACATTGCTTATATACCGTTTTCTATTTATTTATTTAAAGACATAAACATTGGTACAAGGAGGCACCAAACGTATATGCTCCACATAGACCATTCTATTTGCGTCAGGGCTGGGATACTGCCCAAATCCCCAGACAGAAACAGGTGGTTTACTTAGGGGGTCACTCCCAAAGGTCTAATTCATAAGGCAATAGAGCATCGTAAGGAGGCAGTTCCATGGTAGCCGATGACCAACAATCGGTTCATATGGCATTTGTTCCTTCAGAATACTGGAGCGCATGTGCACCCTCGGTTTGGAATCAGGGTTTTCCAACTCCCGTAGGTGGACTCTCTGATTAAAGAGCCGGACATTTGATTTTCGTCCTCTCAATTTCGTAGGACTTCCCTGGCAGTGGTTGAATGCACGTGGCCATATGAAAGTATTTCGACAGAGAGAGAGGGCTGAATCTCCCCACTCTCAGCCGTACCAGGGTATTTGGGGGTTTTACCGTTTTCATTTAAAGGTTGTTTTTATTTAATATTCAATCACAAATAGTTTAGTTTTATCGAATCCCGCGAGCAGGATCGTGGGTGTGCACTGCTAAGGAGTTCCACAATAGGACGAAATAGTCGTCCAATGCTTCCAGGTTTACAATGGTAATCTAAAATCAATCGATTCATGATCTTAATCAAGAAAATCTTATCGACTTATCATCATTAAAATACTGATATTTCTTCAAATAGAATTAATGTTTTATTAACGATAACTAATTCAAATCATAAACATCAAATTAATGTAGCATTTCAGTTTACAATTAATTAATCTTTACGAAAAAGAGAAGAGAAAAAAAAAGAGAATTAGACAGTGCAATCCATTTGGATAACTGGATAAAGTCAATATTTCAGTATACATACCAACTTTACTCATATTACATCATAATACTTTGATAAGTAAAGAAACAAGAAGTGATTAGTTGAAAATGCAATGATCATATGAAAACATTATGTTTACATTCCAAGATTCTATTCATAGTGTAAAAAAGGAGTGGATTTGTGTGTGGGGGGGGGAAATAATCTCATTCTCTCTTTATATGGTATATGTGAACACTTCTTAGTGTCACTAACATGATAATGAATATGAAACATAAAATAGAAAAAAGGATAATCAACGAGAAATATGACAATATTTTAATGATTTAAACAAAACACACACACACACAAATGAAAACAGTAAGGGAACAAAAATGAGATGTGATAATGATTTGGAAAGTATTCCCATGAAACAAAAAAAGGTGAAGAGTATTAAGAGGCCTCGAAGTGTAAAAGACTAAATGCAACAAAAACATAGACAATAAAAAAATTGATAATCATTCGGAAAATACTTAGAACGATATATATCTATATGGCAACAAGGAATTAAACTATATATATATATATATATATATATATATATATATATATATATATATATATATATATATATATATATATATATATATATATATATATCGATAGTAAGTACATTATGGATTGAAGTAAAAGTGAGAAAAAACTTTCCTAAAGAAATAATCATGTTACTGACTATTTAAACAATCAACATCACCTCGTTCCTACCCTTAAACCCCTCCCCACCCCCAAAAAAGAAACGAAAGCAAGAATAACATCACTGGATGAGAAATGGGAAATAATTCCTATCTCCTCCTTAAAAGCTGAAAATGAACACAATTGATAAATAAATCAATAAAACTAATCAGTAGTATATAAATATATATACCTCCATGATCATCATGATAAAGAGTAAAGTGAAAAACCTAATATAACTCCTATTCTGATTCTTAGAAATGTATCACTCCTTCAAAAGGTATACAAAGAAAAAAGAAGCACAAACAAGTGGATACATAAACACACACACATACACAAACACATATAGCATGTAACAAAATTGCACAAATGGTTTAAATAGAAAAAGAAAACAATGTAACAAACACCACCGGGGTTTCTTCTTAAGGCATGACAAATAATAATCACTAGACGCATAAAACAATCATTCATTTTAAATAAAAGATAAATATGTATATAGTAAGTTGAAGAATACTAATATTGTAAGAAATAAATACAATTTTGTGTGTGTATATATTCGTCTTTGGATAGTAACACAATTGTACGGACAACATAATTATTGTGATAGAGTAATGGGACAGGAGTAAAACCAGTGTGTGTGTGTGTGTGTGTGTGTATCAACATTATAGGAAAAAGTGCTTAAAGGAAAGTCAGTCAGTTACAACAACATAGGACCTGCAACAACGGTCACGTTAAAAGAAAATACATGGTTATAATGATTAAGTATTGCAGAGCAGCAGTACAATGTTATTCAAGAAAGATATGTACCAATGTATATACAACGGGAATATATCTGAGAATTACATCATATTCAAATAGATGTCTTACAAACAAGTATTTATTATTTATTATAGTAGACAACATTAGACATGATTAAGGTAAATAACATTCCAAATGATTGATAAATGATAAAAGTCACCACAATGGAAGAATCGAACAAGGAAACGCACACACACACACACACAAATATAATCCCATGTGGTTTATTTCCTATGGATATAGTAACAGTTAAGTATAATTTAATAAATAAATGTTTATGAAAATGCAATGGAAAGGAATAATTGTAATGAATGATTTATGAGTAGTAATATATATATATGTATGTATACTTCTTTAGATTCACATATCTATTGTGCAGTTTGAATGTTACATAGATGACAAGGTTCACATGATGATTAAATAGCGAGTACATCATCATCATCATCGTCGGCATTGCGTAGATTTCCACGTTTCTAATCAAAAAGAAAAAAAAAGTTAAAAATAAAAAAATCAATAGATATTTACAAGTTTGAGTAAATGATTATGAACAGCAAAACAATATCTAAATTTGTTATGTTTGAAGCGATTGTGTGTTCACCTTGTCTGCGAACGGAACGAAGACTCTATGACCAATGATCAATAAGCTGCTAGCTGTTCTGATGCGTCCCAGCCCCGCTAACTAGGAAGAGAGAGAAGTTCAAGTTCGAAACGGGAAAATAGATTCCGCAAACAGCCAGAAGTACGAGCAATAATAACAGGCACAAATCAAACGTATATATACAGCAAAAATATTGTCCCATGGAATCGTTACAAAATAATATACTAACAGATACAACGAACCAATAGCGTTTAAAATTATCCCAAGTGGGAAATACGACATGAAGGTGAAATGAGAGCTTTTGGCACAAAAACAAGAAATTCGAATTTTCAAAACAAAATTACAAAAATAAGGTATTTACCAAGTGAATTATGGGGATCTGACAACCCCAACAAAAATCAAATGATAATTTAGCGGTTGGAATAGGTTATAAGATCGAAACTTAGATATAACCACTTGAGCTATAAACAATGATTTGACTGATTCAATGTTAGACGCCTTTAGGAATTTCTCAGAAGCTGAAAAAAGGCTAAAAAATACTTTGTCCTGTCAGATTTCAACAGAGATGTCCTAGAGAAAAATGATGGATTGTGTCAAATCCTGGTTGAATAATTACCGGTTTGGTACTAGTTATAGCATGTTTTCAGAAAACTCTACATTATCAAAACCATACATAAATCTATCTCAAAGACAGCAAGAGCGAAGATTGGTGCAATATAACGCAACCTCCAACGTTACAAAATCAAGCCATTAACTGACCAAACTCAACAATGCCTGAAGGCCTAGGCACGCATGCGAAGCCGCGAAGCCCATAGATCAGCCAAAGAGTCACTTGCCGACCCAACCAAGACTGACAGATATCAGACCTGATCAGTTTGGCCATAGCAGACAGGCAGCAGTGCCGGTTGTAGTGAACACCCTGAGAAAGTGCACTGACAAGCAGACCCTCACATCAACAGTGAGTGTATCGTATGCAAACGATTAAAATATACCCACCAAAAGGCATGCACCTGCAGTTAAACAAACACTGATGGCGGCCAGTATGCCCAAGCAAAAATCATACTCATCAGCTGAATTCCCAGAGCTTATAGTTCAACTCCACCCGTTTATCTTTGAACGGTTTCACGTACTGTCTACTCTCTCTCACTCTCTCTAATGTACTTTTCAATTTTTTCTCACGGTACTTGTTCGCCATCGGACTCGTGTAAGTATTTAACCATGGAGTCTACTACTCACTTTGGGCGGCATTCACAAACAACCCGACCCCAACGGTAGCTCGGAGCAGAACTGTCACATATGATATCTACCCCCAGTGGAACCCATGATACGCGTTTTATCCTGTTTGCGATTTGTCATCTGGATGCACCGACATCTTGGTTTTTATATTAACATATTATCAGTGGCCATATGAAATTTAAAAATTAGGGAATAACTAATCTGTATTTGAATAAGTACTGCGGTTCGAGTATCAATGTGAACATCAATACTGAGACCAAGATACATCCAGTTAACGAGGCCCAAATGGATCGAAACCATTACCATACGTTCTGCTAGTAGCGACAATTCTAATGTAATAAAACTTTGTCACTAAATAGTAATACAGAAACATCCGCTTAGGATGCAGCATAACTCAGAAAATACTGATCAAAATCCAATCGTGAATAACGACAATGAGGGAAAGAAAAACCTTTATAAAATTCAAAACATCAATTGTTGAAGGATTTAAATCAGTAAGGAAAATCACAAATAAATTTTCACATACCGGTGGTAATCTAGATAAACTTGATTTGAATGGTGATTTCGACAAATTGGATTGATAACTCGATGGAACTGTTAAAATGAAAATAACATACTTACGAATGTAAATGTGTGTTAAATTAAGGAGAAAAGAAATGAAAATTCATCATGAAAGAGTATTAGTATGCAATGGTATTTGAAGATTATTTAATTCAGAACATCAAAAAGTACCAGTACAAGATTGTGCATTTCAAGTTAGGTCATTTCATTACTGAAGATCTTCAGTCGTTACTAAAGAGGGAAACTTCAGTTAAACAGTAGAAAAAATATCCAGGGAGTACTTATTTCGTTTAAGCATAGGATATCTCAACAGTACAAATCCTAAATCCCAATGTCAGAGATGGAACCCACAATTGTTAGACCTCTCAGCTAGCTTGTTACATTTACACCAGTAAGTTAGCACATGTAGTGGGGTTACATTTAAAACTTCAATTAGTTTGCTCTATTGATCAGTTAAAGTAGTATGTGATTCCTCATGATTAAAACAACACCTAGATAACAGACATCATCAGTCAGTAATAAAAAAACTCATCACAATAAACATAATGTTAAATGATGTAGTTGCTTAAAATTCATAACAAACAAACATGCAGATAATTAAACACTTACTGACGACTTACCATGACTTTTATTCAATTGGAAACGACCAGTACTATCATCACTATTAATACCATTCGTATTACATAGATTTGTATCATTATCAAGAAAACTACCAAAATCTTTGCTTAAAAATGATGCCATTACACTGTTTAAATCCATACTGGACACATTGCCATTATTTTCATTTAATGGTGTTGTCGTGTCTATTTTTGGTGTTGTTGGGTGACTCAATTTCGATTGAACATTATCTAATAGATCAAAGAAAAAGATTCCATTTAGAAAAAACACAATAAATAATTTGATAGTAATCTTTATGGTGAGACTATAATTTATGGACGACCTTTGAGCAACTCCAAAGTGACCTTGAGAGTGTTCAACAACTTACCATTGCAAAATAGGGGTTATAAATCTATATGAAAGATATAGATTATGATTTACAGTTGATAGTTAGAGTTAGGAATTAGATCAAAGGGTTTCATCACAAACTGACATAAGCTATAATACCAAAACTTTATTTAACACCAAATGGATGAATGAATTTCGCGCCAAAATCCAAGATCTGTTATTCTAAATTTGATTGTTTCGTTCATAGATTATAGTCTCACCATCTTTATTACAAACTGACAACATCATGTGTAAAACTGTTGAGGATATTAGAATGCATTGAACTAGTGTTTTATTCCAGTATGAGACTATTACTCTTCAACGGTGTGAATTTGCCACTTCAAATGTGATCGAACCCGTGGCCATTCAATCTCGAAGCAAATACGATATATTTAAATCACTGAGTTAAAATATAACATAGTTTATACGATTCTAAGGAATGTACATTTTTGTAAAGTTTTATTAAACTAGGGAATTAAGAGGTTGACCTAGGGGGACATGGAAAATCCTCATTCCAAACCAATGGTGCATATGTGCTCCAGGATCCTAAGGAAACAAATGGCGTATGAACCCAATCTTAGCGACCGGCTACCATGGGACTGCATCTCCTTACGTTGCTCTACTACCTTATGGATTAGACCTTTAGGTCGAAGGCTTCGGGTGTGACCTCCTAAGTAAACCACCTGATTCGGTCTGGGCACCCGGGCAGTATCATAGGCCCAACTCAAATCGAATGGCTTATGTGGCGCATATATATTTGGTGCCTCCTTGTTACCAATCCCTATGTGTTTAAATAAGTAAACAAATGTCCCTGTTAACTTGTCAGTAAATAGGCATAAGTTTTCAGTAGCTTTATTCAAATTGGAAAAATATGACCAAGAAGTAAAAGAGTGAATGATAGTTGAGCCGAATCGCAAAAATACTAAATAAGTGACTGTTGGGGTGATCCAGAAAATTTCTCGCAAAAGACAAGCAAAGATCAGGAAACGCTAAGAAGCACTTCATCCAATCAGCGTTCACTAGAAGTTTTAGCCAGAAACATCAAGGAAGTGAAACGTCACATGTAGAGGTTTTGATTGACTGATTGCTATACTGCTATTATGTCTAGTAGCATTCCAGAATCTTCGAGCAACTCAAGGACATCTAAAAATATTATAAAAACCCTATATTTTCTGTATTAAAATGGACCTTTGGAGTAAAGTACTTCACGCATACTTTGCGCCTTCTTTCCTGTGTTCAGGTCGCTGTATAGTTCTAGCTTGGGGGTTACAGAACAGCTTAGGAAACGAATATAGCGTTCAATTTGCAAGACTTATCAGTGACTAGTTAATGTAGACATCTTTGAATTACACTTTGAACAGAGACTGGTGATTCCAACCAACTCATCAAATCGAAGTACACGAAACATACCTCATGTCTATTTTGATACGTTGAGTGATTTAGATATAAAGACACTTTCATATGAGATTATATATATATATATATATATATATAGATTCAATCTGTTATTCACTAAAAAGTACCCCAAGTTTCTCATTCATACGATACTAAGCTCTACGGTAACCATTTGATGTGTAATTCCTACAATAAATTAAGAAACACTAGAATTATCCGTATGGAGATTGTTGAGTCTTGATTGAGATCATGAATCAATAAATGTTAGACCACCAATGAAAACCTGGATGCCGTTTCAGCGGTCTATAGGTTAAGCATTCACACACGAGACCGAAGATCCTGGGTTTGAATCTTGCGCGCGGGATTGTAGGTGCGCACTGCTGAGGAGTCCCATACTAGGAAGAAACGGCTGTCCATTGCTTCCAGGTTTTCAATGACGGTGTAACATTGGTCTATTGATGATCTTAATCAAAATACTAAAATGTTCCATGTTTCTTAACTTTGGACAACCAATTTAAGGATATTCTGTGTATTTGTCTACGGGATGAATCAATATTAGTTTATAAGTTCAAATTCGGTCAACAAATAACACATACAAGTAAACTTACACTATTCAGGGATTCATCAAAGATGATTATCAACAACTGGACTCAACGCAAAGAAATTATATTTGAGATAATCTCAATGATATAAACTTAAATCATTCCAATGTTTGGCCAAGAGCAAACTGGTCTTTTAACAAACAGATCTACACTAAACTGTTATCGAATTACATTCATATGTTAATTTTTAGAGATAATACGTTCTTTATTTAAATTTCCAGGAGTTGAACTTTTACAGAGAGATTCACTTGCTGACTTAGAATATGATGATGAAATAGTTCTATTTGTTGAAGACGCTGACAAAATGCAGTCTTCCGACCACTCTAAGCAACAATGCAATCATGTTCAACATGCGATTCTCTCCACAGAAATGCAAAATGTTGCTTCAGGATTGGATTGCATCGACACCCGAACTAATGATAGGGAGTGAAGTATTTGAGCGTGTCGACCGCTTCACTTATCGTGGAAGTCTCATCAGCCCTTGTGGTCTGGTGCGTGACGAAATCTCAGCACGGATACAGAAGGCTTGACTTACTTACATACTTACGCTTGTTCCTCCTAATGGAGCATAGGCCGCCGACAAGCATTCTCCAACCCGACTAGCTTTTGCATATTCGCGTCATTTATGGAGTAGGCGAGATATCCGTCTATCAACCAAATGACGAGTTTACTGTACAGCAGTTCGTTCCGCCCTACTTTATGGCAGTGAAAAATGGCCGGTAAGAGTAGAGGATATTCGTAGGTTACTGGTATTCGATCATAGGTGTCTTCGAAACATTGCTTGTATATACTGGGACCATCGAGTAAGTAATGCCGTTGTTAGGAAACGGGTACTAGGTAAGGATGGCGAATCAATTGATGAAGTAGTGAAACTTCATCATTTGAGATGGCTGGGACATGTGTTACGTATGCACAACCACTGACTGCATCGACCTGCGACGTTTTATGGTATAGGACTAGGTTGTAAGAAATCTAGGGGCGGCCAGACGAAAACATGGCAAAAATCCATCAAGTCACTGACAAGTGGACTGAGCCATGTTGGTAGGTGTAGACTACCTGATTGGGATCCGCGAGATGATAGCAACCGATGGTTAGAGACCCTGAATGACATGGCTCAAAATCGTTTGCAATGGCGCAGATGCATCCACTCTCTATGTTCTCCCAAATTCTGATCTTCTGAATTCTTCATGTCCCTTTCTTTTTTTTCTTTTTCCAAATTTATTTCAGTGGATTATACTCCTTGAATAACAACTCCAAACCCTAATGTTTCTGATTACTGCTTATACTTTTGCTACCTCTAGCACTACGGGATTTGAATCGACTAATGCATCTCTGTGCTAATATGGTATAGCAACTTGAACTGATGTACGTACGTACGAAGTTGTTGCTAACTTACTGTTAATTTTTTTGTATAATATAGATGATTATAGATTAATTGAGATAAATGAGATGGAATTTTATTTCTAAGACAAGTGCTAAATAAAATTTGGAGATGAAGCCGAACCGAATGAAGAAAAACAGAATTCTATACAAAAGCTAGACGGGAAATTTCCACAAGAGAAAATATTAAGTACACACAACTGTACAACTATTTCAGTCTAGTTTGAAGCCTATCATAAATGATGTGAGCTAATAATCTCACAAATATAATTAAATTCAAAGCGCATAGATTCTCATAGAGAATACGATTATATTGAAGTTAACTTAGTCAAAACAATGGTTTAGTGCTTTGGGATTATAAATCAAAACACAAAGTTTAAACTGGAAAAACTCAGCAAATCTCTACAGACGTCAGTCAGTTGTAACGTAGGATCAAGCACATATATACATCAGTCCAAGTTGCTACACCGCATTAGCACAACAAGATAGACACCGGATTCATAAAAGTAGTTAATTCAGAGGTGGTAATATATAAAAGAAAGATCGCAATAAGGATATAGTATAGGAAGAAAGAATTAGTTCGTAGAAAGAAAGATATGAAGCGATTTTAATCTCATAGTTTAAAGAAAGAAAGCGTATACACCTACACCACTGTGAGCAATGTCACCCAGAGTCTCCAACCATTGGTTACGATAGTTACGCGGACCCCAACCAAGTAGTCTGCATCTATCAACATGGCTCAAACCAGAAGTTAGTGATTTTGTGGACTGATGCCACGTTTTGGTTTGGCCACCCCTAACTTTCTTCCAACCATCCCCAACACTATTCAGTATTGTGCATCGTGGTAATTGGTGTTTAGGCATACGTAACACGTAACCCAACCATCTCAGTCGATGAAGATTCACAACCTCATCAATTGATTTGCCATCAATCCCTAATACCTGCGTCTAACCTCACTATTACTTACCCGGTGATCCCAGAAGATGCGAGTAATATTTCTAAGACATCTGTGATCAAATACTGGTAACTTACGAGTACCTTCTACTCTTATTGGCCGCGTTTCGCAGCCATAAAGTAAAATAGGAGGAACTGCTTCTCATTATACTCGTCCTTCAATTGATAGACAGATATCTCGCCTTCGCCATAGGTGACGTAAGTTGACAAAAGCCAAACGAGCTTTTTGAATCTGTGTAGAGGTTTCGTCAGACAACGACCCATTTAGGCTAATCAGACTTCCAAGATAAGTGAAGTTATCAATGCGTTCGACTAATTCACTCTCTATCTTTAGTTCAGGTGTTGACGCAGACCAGTCCTGAAGCAACAACTTCCATTTAGAGGGGGAGAAACGCATCCCGAACATCTTGGCATTGTTGCTCAGTGCTACCAAAAGACTCTGCATTTTATCAGCGTCTTCACCAAACAAGACTATGTCATCTGTGTACTTTAAGTCGATAAGTGGACCTCCTGGTAGGAGATCAATGTCCGAAAATCACCTTAGTACATACTAAATTCTATATATTGACAAGAAAATAATAATGGTAATGAAGAATATTGAAAACGACAAAACATACTTGTTTGAGAACACTGTACCGTTGATTCACCCAGGAATGGTGTAGATAGTGGTGATATTGACGATGAAGATGATGATGAATGTGATAGATCTACACGATTTAAAGTTTTATGTTGTTGTAATGTATGACTAGTATTAATGCTAGTTGTTATATTAGTAGAATTAGTTAAATGATGATTTGGACTTCGTTCAGTTGATGATGATGACTGATATATATCACGATTAAATAATAAGTTGGATTTCTTTCTTAATAAACTTGATGAAGAAATAGCATCATCAGTAGAATTTTTTGTTGATAAGTTAACTAATGTTACAGTTGGTGATAAATTTTTGATTCTACAATAAGGAAAAAATAGGAAATAAATAATTCTGATATAAATGAAACTAACAGAGCCAGAGAGTTACAATTGATTGATCACCACCCAGTGATCAATCAATTGTAATCACATCTCATTCCTACAGGGGGTCGGTCACGGCCCGGATTGCCTAATAGTAACGTCTCTGACAGTGAAGCTGGGTGACATGAGGTCAAATCCGTCAGGGAGCACCAGTCCCCTCAAGATTACAGGTACACCTTGCTGACGAGTGACAAGTAGCACGGAACCCGGGTCCAGGGCTCCCTGTTGACTGCCTCCAACCACCATCTAAGAGCCAGAGAGTATTTATAAATAATCCATTTTATGTTATATTGTTGGAGGTAGTTGAGAGGGAAGCCCTAGACAAAGGTCTCGTGCTAATTAAACCTCATCAGCAAGGTGCGACTGAAATCCCAAGGGAACTGATATTTCCTGTTGATGTTTTCTGCCGATCAAGTTGTATGGAGAACAAACCTTACAGGGAACATCAATCCCTTCAAATTTGCAGGTACACATTGCTAATGGTTGTCACCTAGCACTAAACCTATGTCAAACAGTGTTTTCAGCCGACACAGCATGTCAACATAGTGATAAGAAATCATTAAGACAAATAGCACAGCAGTAGAAATATTAACAGAAGATTATTGATAGGAGAAAAAAATTGGGGATAAACAATATGATTCAAGAAGAAAGAATGATCAGTTTAGGGTTGTGGAGATTGTTGAGTTTTGATTGAGATCATGAATCGACCAATGTTAGACTTTCATTGTAAACCTGGAAGCAATGGACGGCCGTTTCGTCTTAGTATGTGACTCCTTAGAATTGAGTATATACGATCCCACGCGTGTGATTAGAACCCAGAATCTTCAGTTTCGAGCGCGAATACTTAACTTCAACTTGTAATGACATACAGTTGGTTTACATCTCATGCTCTCAGTGAATGACAGGTCCATCGAGAGAGAAAAAAACCAACATATACACAAGCACAAATTTACAAAAAAAACTAAAGTAAAACTGTGTATTTACCTTGGGTTTGTTGATCTTTCATCTGTCAACAACATTGGAGTATTTGTTCTTGAAGATGTACTAACTTTTCTTCGTGAATTCAATGTACCAGTTGAAGTATTCGTTGATGCACGAAATACTGTTTCACCAGATCTTAATGCTCGTAGACAACCTTGTGCAATTGATGTGCTGTTATTATTGCATAATGATGTAGAATTATTATTATTTATAGAATTTGAAATACTGGATGTTAACGAATGGGATGGAACACATGTAGCCGATATCATAGATGATAGACTAGACGCTGGTGAAAGTGATCCATTTGTAGATGTCTCGTAATAACATGATGATGATATTGAAGACTGATGTTGAGTTTGTTGTTGTTGTTGTTCTGTAAATGCTGACTCATCATGACCAGCAGTATTATTTAATGATGTATATCCACCAATACTAGGGCCGACGAGACCATAGCCGATACCAACACCACCACCACTACTGCTGCTGCAACCATTGTATGATGATGAAACAACAGTTAATGAACTGTCACGACTTGTTGTTGAACTACCTAAACTACTTGGTTCAGTTAGATTACCAATAATTGAAGATGATGATGAATTAGATGGTAGACGATTTAAAGTTGAATGTGTAACTTAATAATGAAATGAATAAAATAAAATGTTTTATTCAACAACATAACTTTCTTTAAAAAGCCATGAATTATAGATATATTGCACTGAACATATTAATTAATAGATATAGATCAAAATACTATCTTTGATGTCAAGTTTGATACTGTAATGTTTGCCAGGTATTTTCTACGTCGGTTACATTTTCAGTATGAAGGTTAATGTGTTTGTGATAAACAGATTATTAAGACCGCTAAAAATAGATGTAGCACACAAACCTAGAAAAACATTACAATCAATATTATGCACAGCAAAGGACACGACGGCAAACGGAGACAAACTAAATATCATCTACAAAGTTAGTTGTAGAAGCTGCGAAAAGCATTATATAGAACAAAGCGACTATCTGTTCCGTGAACATCAGCTGGCGGGTTAAACGTCACGACATAGCTTTTCTCATATCACTGCATGTGAACAACCATGGACATGATTTCGATTGGGGAAACATCAAGATACTGAACAAAAGATATACAAAGAAAGCTAGAGAATTCTTAGAAGCATGCATCAACCAATAGGCATAGGATTGACCAAATATAACGATCAATCACGAAAAGGATAAACACCTCCAAAGTCACAGATGGAAAGTCAAGACAGACAAACAAACAACAGCTAGAAACCTATGAACAAAAACTAACCAAATTCTAGGGCCACTAGAACAAGCAGTTAGTCAATCGTGAGGCAATTCTTATTGAATTATGTGCTGATGACATTGTCAAGGTACACAACGAGAACTTCATGGTGAAGACTGATAAGATTATTATCCAGCTGACCAAAGTAGAAGAGAGGATGAGGTCAAAAGTGGTAAATGAAAAAACAACTATGCAAACAACTAAGATCGCTGGCTCCCCGCCCCCTCAGTCTTCTCAGATGTTTAATAGTCACAAGCAGATGTAAAACAGCTTAGAGAAATGGAAAGTCTATGTTCGCAAAGAGAAATAATGAAGACTTTAAGATATCTTATTTAATAGTACACATATATTAATGTGACAAAAAGGTTACAAGATAAAGACAAGCTAAAAACTTTATAATTGAATATATGGTGATTAATTATTCTTGTTGATGGAGTTTTGTTCTCTGAACTGGATGGTTTGGTTGTGGAGCATTCATGATTCTTCTGAACGACATCATCAGTACAAACCTGAAGTATACTTCAAGTAGAAGTAAAATATTCAATTATTGCAAAAGTGTTAAGACAATTCTTTCTGATAAATATCTTTGTGACTAATTGTCTTTACAAGCCTTATTCAGTTAACTTTTGACCATATGGTAGATTGATCATTTCCTTAATGGATTAAGCAAAATAAATCGAAGTCAATAAATCTGTTGATCTGAATCGTATGTATTTGGAAATTCTCAAGCAATAAAACAACATAATTTGTTATCGGTGATATTAGTAGACGTAGACTACTACTATTATTACAATCACAAATTCGATTGACGAAATGTAAAAAAATTTTGAGAATACATGAGAATTTATAGAAGCAAAGCACTCATATTAATTGACAGTTCAATAAATATATCGGCAAAGATCCAATCTATTAATCAATATGAGAAAGAACAATCAAGTAAGTGGTTTTAAATCAACAGAACGAAACTAATTAAGACAATCACAAAGAAAGTTATCAGAAAGAAATAATTAAGCATTTGTGCAAGAGTTGGAAATCTTACTATAATAATTTTGAGTATAGGATCGTGGAGACCATTGGATTCCATTGCAATTATGAACAGATAAATGTTAAACCACCGGTATGAGACTCCACAGAGGTGCGCACCCACGATACCCATGCAGGATTCGAATCCAGGATATTAGGCCACGCTCTCAGATGCGCAACCCCTAGACCACTGAGCAAACATCCAACGATGTTAATGTCTAACACCAATCGATCCATAACATCGCAAAACCATTTTCCATTGTCTTCCATGGGTTAGGGTCACGCGTGAAAAACGTAGATGTGCACTGCCAAAAAGTCCCATACTAGAAAGAAACGGCTGTCCAATGTTTCTAGGTTTTCAATGGTGATTTAACTAAGATCGGATCATGGTTTCAACAATCAAACTGTCTAACTCAGAGAATATAAAACCAGCCGACTTTCTTTGTCATTTTTAAATGACTACATTCTGAGGTACATATATACAGAAGGAGATATTTCTCGAAACATTTCAGACCATAAATTTTTTACTACATTAAACACATAGTATTAAATAAAACTATTACTACTGTTATATATTTTTAGAATAATGTCATCACTTCATGATGCAATCTTCATACACTTATATTTAACGGAATATTTTGTCTGTTAAATGCTAAAACTAATAATACCAATAATAACAACACACAAATGTATTACTTCTACCATAATATGACTTCCATTTCCCGGATAATATTTGTAAATTTCCTAATACACAGTCAGTAACAACGTAGAACTTCATACGTACGTACATCAGTTCGAGTTGCCACACCACATTAGCACAGAGATGCATTTGTCGATTCGAATCCCGTAGTGCTAGAGGTAGCAAAAGTATAGGCAGTAATCGGAAACAATAGGGTTTGAAGATGTTATTCAAGAAGTATAATACAGTGAAATAAATTTGGAAAGAGAAAAAAGAGAGGGACATGAAGAACTCAAAAGATTAGAATTTGGGAGAACACAAAGAATGGATGCACCTGCACCATTGCAAACCATTTTGATCCATGTCATTCAAGGTCTCTAACCATCGGTTTATATCGTCTCGCAGATCCCAATCAGGTAGTCTACACCTACCAGCATGACTCAGTTCACTTGTCAGTGACTTGATGGATTTGTTCCATGTTTTAGTCTTTCCGTCCCTAGCTTTCTTCCAACCTACTCCTGAACCACAAAACATCGCACGTCGAGGCAGTCAGTGGTTGGGCATACGTAACACGTATCCCGGCCATCTCAACTGACAGTTTCCTAGAACATAACTCAACGTTTATTTTAGATTGATATTTTTCACTACTTATAAGTAGCATAACTAAAAATAAGAAAATATGGCTGGAACGGAATTTAATCAGAGAGAGGTTTTGTGGATATTATAGTAATTTAATAGTTGAATTCCTGAGTCAATTGAAGCTAGACCACCATGAAAAACGTGGAAGCACTGGACAACCGTTTCACCCTAGTATGGGACTCCTCAGCAGTGCGCATCTAGTCTCGCTAGGTTCGCGAAACCAATACGTCATGGGTTCAAACCTTGCGAGGTGGGGTCGTAGATGTACAATGCTGAGTCGCATACTAGGACGAGATGGCCATCCAGTGCTTCCAGATTTTTCATGGTGCTCTAGCTTCAATTGAATTAGGAGTTTAATACTTAAATTCATGAATCGATTAGAGCTAGACCATTATGTTAAATTTGAAAGCACTAGAGATTTCACACAAAAATCATACACAATATACAGTGATATTCATAATCCACTAGTCGTTCAGATAATTAACACAACAATTCTCAATTAATTGTTGCTTACAAATAAACCAGAAAAAGATAAGAATTAGAATGAACAAAAATTCAATATACATAAATGAATTAAAGATTTACAAAAAAAGTAACACATTATAGACAGCTGTATATGAGTGGGTTTTGAAAATAATGAATAAGAATGGAGGATAAACATCCATATAATCGAAACAGGCCATAAGGATTGATATTAATTCGGCTTTTGTGGTGTTGTATAAAAGTGTAAAAGGGGCGTATATATTAAGGTTTATTGAAGCCTTAGCCATACGAAAATTCAAACCCCGTTTGTGTATTCAAAAACAGTTTGTTCTCACCTTAAACACCTACCCTGGCAATATTGACTTATTACCCAGAGTGATTAGGTTTCAAATTGTGTTCACATTATTATCATTACTCTTATTATTATCATCATTGTCTCCTCTTACCCCATTTCTAGTCTAGTTGACCTTTTACTTTTTTTATATATATAAATGTTCTAAACAAGTGTATGATCAAATTGTTCGAAATGTATTGCGCTAATATATCATCATCACATAGTTCTGATAATCATCGTCTTCTTATTACATTTTCGAAATAATGAATAAAATTTCTCTTTATCCACTCCAAAATCATGCTTTGATATTTGTTTATTATTACTGTTTCTGTTATTTTAACTGGGTGGTGATATGGGAACAAAGAAAAAGAGAAAGTAATGATGCCTAGAATGATGTGTACGTGTGTGTGTGTGTGTAAATGTGTAAAGGGAAGGGAGGCCAATTTGTAGACAGTTACAAATTCAAAAAAACTATACGTAATAACGAGACAAAAGAAAAGTGATCGTATCGATAAAGATTGTTCGAAATAACATGCATAATTGGCAAGTAGTATAAGTAACAGGATATAATCATCTAATTTGATCGATAATGTTCATTAATCAGCAGTAGTAGTAGTAGTAATGGTTAATGTCTATGATATACATGAAGCTATTAACTAATTATATGTATTGCTTTTAGAACTAATTACCAGACAAAAAAATGAACCGATATTGAAATACAAAAGGTAGTTAGTAAAAGTACAAGATTAAAAATTTCAGATAGATTTGTTTAAAACATCCAGATTATATGAATGAAGAATATTCTCTTATTTTAAATAAATTCTCTTCAGGTTCTAAAATTATATATCCAAATGGGTAGATTAAGGGCAAAGTGCATTGTTTAAAGTTAAAGTATCTGAATTTAGAATTATAAAATGAAATAATGTTTGAATGATGGTAAATCAGTTGATGAGGTTGTGAATCTTCATCGACTGAGATGGTGGGGCCACGTGTTACGTAAGCTTGGACACCGACTACACCGACGTGCAGTGCTAACCGGTGTTGGAGATGGTTGGAAGAAAGTTAGGGGTGGCCAAACCAAAACGTGGCATCAATGCTTGAAGTCACTAACCTTTGGTCTGAGCCATGTTGGTAGATGCAGACTACTTGGTTAGGGTCCACGTGACTATCGTAACCAGTGTTTGGAGATTCTGAGTGAAAAGGCTCAAAATCGATCACAATGGCGTAGGTGTATACACTCTCTGTTTTCCCTTAAACTAAGAGATTAAAATCGCTTCATATCTTTCTTTTGTACGAACTAATTCTTTCTTCCTATACTATATCCTTATATGCAATCTTTCTTTTATATATTACCACCATTGAACTGACTACTTTTATGAATTTGGTGTTCGTGTTCTTGTGCTAATGAGGTGTGGCAACTTGGACCGATGCATGTATATGCTTAGTCCTACACTGTAGTTAGTTCAATGGTAGTAATATATAAAAGAAAGATTGCATATAAGGATATAGTATAGGAAGGAAGAATTACTTGGTAGAATGAAAGATATGAAGCGACTTTAATCTCATAGCTTGAAGGAAGACAGAAAGTGTATACACCCACACCATTGTGATGGATTCTGAGCCATGTCACCAAGAGTCTCCAACCATTGGTTACGATAGTCACGTGGACCTTAACCAAGTAGTCTGCATCTACCAACATAGCTCAGATCAGAAGTTAGTGACTTCAAGCATTGATGCCACGTTTTGGTCTGGCCGCCCCTAACTTTCATATAGCAGATGGAATTATTTGAATTCTAACTAATTAAAAACATTCAGAAAACGACTGATTAGACCTCTTTCATTCTGATTTGATAATTATGGAATTTGTCAACAAGGCTAGTGTATTATTCAAGAGCTTCTAGAACCTCAATGTCATGTATATTCCTATAATAGGCATCGCTTTTAAAAACCGTCAATTATAACCAACAAAGAGACCCAGCACAAATGTACGATAGCCCACGTTTTTACAACACATTAGCATAATGAAATGAAATGAACAAAATTTAATGACGAATGTAACGATGATCATGATCAAGACTGACTCTATTGAAGATGTGGTTCAATAAGATATTGTTTGGAGAGGAACTAGAAATCAAGATCTAGATCAAGATAGATAAGAATGCATTTATGCAACTGTGAATGATTTTGAGCCATGTGACATATAGAACCTCAGCCACTAATTTCATGAACTCACAGTATGGTTTTGTTTGATCATCTCTAGCTTTCTTCCAACTCATATATATCCCGTCTAACATTTGAAATCGAGGTAAGAGGCGGTTGAGCATACGTAACACATATTCCAACCACTTTATTCAACAAGGATGCAAAACTACATAAATCAATGACTCATTTGATCATTTCACAATACAAGAACAATTAGTCCAAGATATCTATATCCTAAAGTACAGCTACTTTTATCATTTACACCTTATGCTTTCCGTTTGTAGGAAATGGTAAAAGACTAGAAACTTAATAGTTTATACATTACTAATCTTGTTCTATTAAAAGTTAATAAAACTAGAAAAGAAAAAAATATATATCCAAACTTACCTGAATTTGGTCGACTTAATAAAATTGGTCTACTAATTGTTAATCGTTTATTATCATTATTATTTTCATTATCTAATTGATTAAATCCATTAATAATATTAGTTTTATTTAATGCTTTTGATATTGATGAACTACGATGTGTTAAACTACTAAATGAGCTACGTTTCCATGAAAATTTTGATTCTGTTTTATTATTATTATTATTAACATTATTATCCATTTTCATTTTTTCAAGATGATGATGATGACGATGACGATTATCATTGTCACCACCATCATCATCATTATCATCAACAACAACAGTAATAGGATTATCATTAATGATTGTATTATCAGTGTAAGTTGAATCATTTAATTCATCATTGACTTGTTCATAATTATTATCATTATTTTTACTTATATAATTGTCAGTAGTAATAGTAGTGGCGGCTGTAGTACTAGTAGTATTAGTAGTAGATGGCATCGATATTTCCAAACGATTAATTTTGTTTATTAAAGAAGGAATACGAAATCCATTTGATTTTGATGAATGTTTACCACGTTCAATCAAATCTGATGTTTGACTAAATATGGTACTGTTGGTGGGTGAGGATTCTTTGTTTAAATAATCAGTTGAATTCGATCTAGAATATATAGAAAAAGTGGAAAAATAGAATGTGAGCAAGCTCATAACGTAACATAAAACTGAACCCAAAAATCTTCACTTTTATCAACGAGTATGGTACTGTTAAGTCAATAAGTTGATGATAACCAATGGTTTCCATTCCTGCCAAACAATGTTATCAAGATGAGTATAATATTTTGGTGAAAGGAGGTTTTGAATTGTTTAATCAGTCAAGTTGTGAGAACCGTTTTCAATCAGTAATGCAGGAATAAATTTGATTCCACCATGGATTATAACAGAAACATCATATTTAAATTCTACATGTTGCTGTTATATCATCAATGCGACAAAAGACAAAACATACGAGTAATGAACTGCTGAACTCACACGAAATATTAGTTTAACATTAGCAAAGGCAAAGCAATTCCCTGAACTTAAAAGATTTGAACAGTATGTATTCAGAATCCAAATCTGTTGGAAAGAAACCTAATAGTGACTATGTTTACATGCTAGATTTATACAACTGTTGGGAAGTACCTAAAATGTCACAATATTATTATGTCTACAGAACACGAAATGCTATTAATACCATTGTTATGTTTTATGATCGTCAATTTATGGTGGCTTGAAATACTGGTCAGTATCACATGTTATATTTGCCCAATCTGAACTCCGATTATTGAAAAATTCACTTACATGGCCAGTAGGTCCAGCGACCTTTTATATCACGACTTTATATGCAAACCGATAAACCACAAGGAGAGGCTTTAATGCTTATTGGTTATTGAGCGCCTTCTAACTCAGTAATCAATCAAAAGACATAGATAGTAAGGACATTACTTATCTACTGTATTCAATCCAACTATGATACAAAATTTATACAATAGTACGCTTAAAGTACTTGGAATACACATCAAATAAGAAATCATACTTTAGATACAATCATATCATAAGTGGTAGGGGGAGCAGTAAATAGTATATAAATACTTAACAATAATTAGAAAATAGTGAAAAGCATAACAACAGTCGACAGGTCTACTGAAACCATACAATACGAAGAGGATAGAATGTAACAATACAGTTATTCACTCATTATATAATGAAAATATGAATAATAATCCGAAAAATAAGTCTGAAAGTTACAAAATTTTCAATATTTATCCCGTTATAACAACCGTAATAAAGATTCGATGGTATTTCGTGTAGAATGTTACATAAATGATAAGAAATAAGCTTGATAAGATTTAAGTTTCAGATTTTGTTAACTTATGTGTAGAACCTACATAGAAACATGTATCTTACAGTCATTTATATTTTACATGGTATTTAATCACATTTATTGTTTTTTGTACAATAATCTTTAAAAAACGTGTATTATATTTCTAGAAAAAGCGAACATCTCTCATCGCTGACTGATAGAGTTCTGCTTTTTTGACATCTGTTGATTAGAAATTTTGATAGTTGAGATCATGGGTCAATTGAAGATAGATCACCATGAAAAACCTGAAAGCACTGGACGGTCGTTTCGTCCTATTGTGGGACTCCACAGCAGTGCATATCCACGATACCGCCTTACGAGACTCGAACTCAGGACCTATAAGTTTCGCGCGCGAACGCTTCAACTTCAACTAATCCGGGAAATTGAGCGACACATCCACCATTGTCTTCAGTGAGTCACTATCTCACAACAGACCCGGCTGAACTCCACTGGTCACTGCTTCTCACTAGATAGGTCCTGGGTTCGAATTTCGCGAGGTGGGATTGTGATTGCGCATTGCTGAGGAGTCCCACAATAGAACGAAACGGCCATCCAGTACTTCCACGTTTTCCATGTTGGTCTAGTTAAATTGACTCATGATCTCAACTAATAAAATTACTATAATATCCACAAAACCCCTTCAGATATTGATCACAAGCTCTTTGTGTTAATTGACACACGGTCATACTATTCACATCAATCAAGTTGATCTATCGTACATTTACACATTTATATAATCTTTTCCATTAGTTGTTAAAGCCTATCAATTCACTAGGGAGATAATAACATAAGAGAAAAAACCCTATGAGGGAAGTTGAATGCTGTGAAAAAATTGCATCATACTCATCATGAGTATCTTGAAGGTTATGAATAGACACTGTTATGAAGTCCTAAAAACTAAGATGACACACTAGTCCCTAGTATTTAACACAATTTAGCAAACCAGTAATTCACGTTCATTTTTAATGGTTAGTACACTTGATGAAATATATGCATATGTCAATTTGAATAGTATAAATGGTCTAAAATTAACCTAAATTTGGATAAAATAAACACGAAAAACCAAACATTAAATTACGAAATAAAAAGTTCACCTTGTAGAACCATTCATTTGGAGCGAATCGTCACAATTAGAATGACCTTTAATATCCCCATTATTAGTAGTAATGGCAGTAGTAGTAGTAGTAGTAGTCACACCATTTAACTTTTTAGCACCATCAGCATTATGATTCATATTGTCACTGGTGGTAGATTTTTCTATTGGGAAACATTTGAATACTTCATCTAGTAATGATGAGCCTAAATCTAACCCCTGGTAAATATAAAAACAAGATTGTAGTGAGAGAGCAGTTACAAGTTATAAATACAACATCAAACTACTTGTGAGTAGTTAGCATGGAATCTGACAATCAAGCAGTATAAAGTGAGATGTTAGTGAAAAATGTATTCATCTAACAGAAGACTAGTTAAAAAACCATTAAAAGTTAAGTGATATTGCGTATTTCGTTTTGTCTTAGCAGAGGACTCCTCAGAAATGTACACTCATTATTTTAAACTGAGTTGAAAATAAAATCATGTAATTTTACAATCTATTAATAAACTTAACAGAATACAAATTAGTCTTGAAATTTTAATGGTCAAGATGTCTCGCTGTTCCACATTATCCCATAAAAACAAGTAATCAATGTTCAGAAGTAGCATTTACTGGTGATAAAACTTAAATTTTACCACTGATAGCTTACTGGTAATGACTCTAGCTTTAGAAGTTCAGTTGGGGATCAAAGTCGATTATGCAAAAGTGTACTTGGTAAATGAGTTGTGAAGGAAACAATAGGCTAGGATGCAGACAATTCAATGTTACTAACAGAAAAAAGCCTCCTTAAGCCAAAACAATTGACTTATAATACAACACTTAAATCAAGATATCCCCCTTTTTGAATTTTCCGCACTTCTTGTTTCAACCAAACTACTTATATGAAACAGACATATAGAAACGGATTGCTTCCCAGATGATTTATTCTTTTCTCTTCAATTAAATGTGACTAATCGTTGTGCTAAGGACACAAAATCAGGATCATATAATAACGATTTGTGAAATTCAGTTTATCTATACAATGTATGAAAATCTAATGCCACTAATTATGAGTGACTTCGGACATTCTGCAGTTTGGATCAAAAATATTTACCTTCCTGTAGATGTCATCCCAACAACGATCGAATGGATCCATTATGGTCATCAAAAAAATCAAGAGTAAGAAAGCAGCACCACCTGACAATATACCAACTGAAGCTCTGAAGTCAAACGGAGAAGTAACTGCAGACATACTGCACACTCTATTCGGGAAGAAGAACATGTGCCGACGGACTGAAAAGAAGGATACCTCATCAAGATATTTAAGGAGATCTGAACAAATGTGAAAACTACACAAGCATCACACTACTGTCAGTACCAGGAAACGTTGTCAACAGAGTGTTGTTGAACCGGATGAAAGATTCAATATACGCCCAGCTTTCAGATCAACAGACCGGATTCCTTAAGAATCAGTAGTGTACAGACCAAATTGCGACACTATGGATCATTGTTGAACAATCAATTGAATGGAACTTATCACTATACATAAACTTCATTGACTATGAGAAGGCGTTTGACAGTGTGGATAGGAGAACATTATGGAAACTTCTTCGACACTACAGTGTATCTGAGAAACTCGTCAACATCATACGACCGACTACTGTGCAAAGTGGTGCATAGAGTACAGCTGACAAATACATTCCAAGTGAAGACCAGTGTCAGACAAGACTGCCTACTCTCCCGCTTTCTCTTTGTTATGGTGGTTGACTGGATCAGGAAGAACTCCACACCTCAAGGGGAAGCACGGAATACAATGGACAAGTTGGATGCAACTGGACGATTCAGACTTCACAGATGACCTGGCCCTTCTATCCCATACACACCAACAAATTCAGGTGCAGACAGCCAGTGTAGCAGCAGCATCTGCATCAGTAGGCCTCAACATACACAAGAGAAAAATCAAGATCCTGAAATACAACACAGAGTAAATACACCTGGACTATTGCATGATATTCAGAGCCATGTCATTCCAAGTTCCTAACCTTCGGTTAAGCTAATCATGTGGATCCCAATCAAGTAGTCCACACCTATTAACATGGCTCTATCAAATTTTCAATGGTTTCATGGACTAGTGGTGATGCATTAATTTGGTCACCCTTAGAGTACTAAGCAAACAAGGTAAACTGGTCCATGATACCATGGGCATCAATAACTGAAGGGGTCAGGAAACGTTTTACCCATACTTAACTATCTATAACACGGTATGAAATACTGACTAGAATATAAGTAGGTTGAAGGAAGGTGTTAACTATCAAGTCAGAGTAAAAGCGATAACCATGATCAACAGTTGAAGACTTCAAAAAAAGCCCGATCGCAGATGCATTTGTTCGGCGTGTTTCTCTAAATATTAATTGTTGATATTACTTTCTATTAGTCGATTTGAACCATAGTCTTAATAATACCACCATTTTTAGGTCATTTCTTTTTCAAATTTAGCCTACCTTCACTCATTTTCATTGTAATAATGTGACATATTTTTTTCAGAATGGGGTTTTGCAGAGATTGTAGTAATTTTAATAGTACAATTCATCAGTCCATGTAAGCTAGACCACTATGGAACACCTGGAAGCATTGGACGACCGTTTCATTCTAGTATGGAACTCCTCAGCAGTGTGCATCCACGACCCCACACTTAGGACTTGATCATAGGACATTTGGTCTCGCACACGAACACATAACCTCTTAACTACTGAGCCTTCCAGATTTTCAATGGTGGTCTAGCTTACACCGACCCATGAATTCAACACATTTTTTTCTCAAGTTCTACAATGTATGTATAAGGATAGAAAAATTAAAATATAACCCAATATTTTAACTAACTATTACTTATTACAATCTATGAAAAATAAAATATAATTATCTATTAGTATGCAATCATCATTTATAAATTTAAAATAGAAGACAATGGTGGATGTGTCGCTCAATTTCATGGATTGGTCGAAGTTAGACATTAACACCGTTGGATGCTGGCCGGCTCAGTGGTCTAATGGTTAAGCGCTCGCGCGCGAGACTGATAGGTCTTGGATTCGAATCTCGCTAGATGGGATCGTTGATGCTCACTGAATGCTGAGGAGTCCCATACTAGGATGAAACGACCGTCCAGTGCTTCCAGGTATTCCATGGTGGTCTAGCCTCAACTGACTACTCATGATCTCAACTATTAGAAATTTATTATTTTAAACAAGAATGTTTATTACAAATTGTAAATGTCTTCAAATCAAGGTCAATGAAAAGTTTTCTTTTTTTTTCTTTCTAAGTAAAATAAACTTCTATAATGAACCTAACGACAAATATTGTATATCTTTGTATACAGACCTAGTCATTCAATGTATATATGGAGAAAAACAACTATTCATTTCGTAATTAAACAAATTCGGTAGAGAGAGGGAGGGAGGGAGTTAGGGAGACAAAGTAAATAAGAAATACAGTAATGCATAGAATCAGAACTAAATGAACAAAAGGAATGATTATCATATTTTGTCTCAACCTCCCCCCCTTACCCTACTATTTATTATCATTGATTTTATTCAGCTAATATAACAATAAATCTATTCGTCTGTGTGACATACAAACAAAGATTAATTAATTACAATGGAAACGTATCCTACAAGTTTAGATACCTTGAACTAAGATGATGAGAAAAGAAAGACATGGTAACAGTACATATTGACTAACTGAATTTAGTTCTAAGCTTTGTTATTTCATGTGAAATAAAACTATGAAACTATGAAACACTTTTTTTCTTCAGAGTATACATGATATGTGTCTTTCAAATAGACTAATAAATCAACTTGAATAGAATAGACAACTTTGTCTAATATAATGTATATTTCACGAAAAATATTGATTAACTATTATGCAATATGGTTTTATTTATAACATTTGCAGAAACTTATCCTATTGAATTAATGTATAATTCCAATCGTTTTGTATAGCAGTAGTCTATGTTAGGAATAATGAATTTGAAATTCAGAATGCGTTTTCTGGAGATTTTAGAAATTTCACTGATTGAAATCATGAGTCAATTGAAGCTAGGTGTACGGCGGCGCAACTTCGTGGATTGGTTGAAGTTAGTACATTAACACCGTTGGATGCCGGCTCAGTGGTCTAGTTGGTTAAGCGCCTGGTGCGAGACTGATAGGTCCTGGGTTCGAATCTCGCGGGGGGCGGGATCGTGGATGTGCACTGCTGAGTCTCATAGTAGGACGGAACGGTCGTCGAGTGCTTCCAGGCTTTCCATGGTGGTCTAGCTTCAATTGACTCATGATTTCAACCGGTGAATGTCAAATTGTTTAGTTCTTAAAAAAGAAAATTTATTTAACCCATCTGATAAAATCTGTGATTGAAATTATGAACCGATTACTGTTAGATCATTTTTGGAAACTCGGAAGCACTGAATGGATATTTATCCTAATATGGGACTCCTCGGCAGTGAGCGTCCACAATCTTGCGCGTGAACGCTTAAACTCTAAACCACTGAGCCGACCGGCATCCAGCGGTGTTAATCTCTACCATCGACCAATCCACGAAGTTGCTCCACCGTCCACCATTATCATTACTGAGTTAATATCTCACAACTGACCCAGTTGAACTTCACTGGTCACGGATTCTCACTAGAACTCCAAGAAATACCTCTTGCAGTTTCGTTCTCATAGCTGGATGGTTTGGTCATTCTTCTGAACGACATCATCAACACAAATTCCACGACCAAACCAACCAGCTCGGAGAACGAAACTCCATCAAAACATCTACCTGAGCTACAAATCTCCACCATCTCAATAGCTCTTGCAGCCAGTCACTAGTGAGCATACGATGGTTATTATCAAAAGGGGTTTTGTGGAGATTTTTTAGTAATTTTATAGTTGAACTCATGAGCCAACTGAAGCTAGACCACCATGGAAAACCTGGAAGCTCTGGACAGTTGTTTATCCTAGTATGGGAGTCCTCGGAAGTACGCATCCACAATCTTTGGGCCGGTATAAAACGACGTTAATATCTAATCTCGACTAATCCACGATGTTACGCAAGCATCTTCTATTACCTTCGGTGGGTAGCCGCCTCATACTTGACACGATTAAGATCCAGCGTGTCGGATCGTGGACGAGCACTGCTGAGACCCATACTAGAACGAAATGGCCCTACAATGCTTCCAGATTTTCGATGATGGTTTTATACTAATCGGTTCATGAGTTTAATGGAATTCAACAATCTCCACGATCCCAAACTGAAATCTACTAATCAACTTTACAATGTTGTTAATTAACTTAAATAGGTATTGAAATAACAATATGCTATTTATATTTATCTGACTTTTCAAGGATTGATTTCCATAACTAAGAGATTTAGAGTACACACGTGACATTTTTCAATAGTGTAAATTTGCTGACAAAATACAGTGTCCTGAATTCTATGAATATTAATGCAAGAATTTTTAAGATATGTTTCTCTTTACGTTAATGTACAAGTCAAAGAGGTCGACCAGTCAACTAGTCTTACAAACCGTATCAGCCTTGATGAAACGCATAAGATGAGTTAAATCATGAAATTACACACCTCAATCTATTGAGTTGTTTAGGGCACAAATCACTCATGATTGCCATGATGTATAATGGTGGCCAGTAAAAGAATAATCCGAAAAAAAAATGTTAGGGGTGAGTAAATCAATACGTAAGATCGATCGGTGCCCGACCGTTGTTGCTGCCTTGACGTGGTGGTCGGGCTTGCCTATCGTAATGAACCAATCGAACTATACTGGCTGGAACAATTGTTCCTCAAGGTCCTACCGCGCCAAACAGGTCGGCCGAAGAGCGGTAAGACTAAAAGCAACAAACCCAAGGTCCGAAGGCGAAATCCAACTGCTCGCTGTGCACAGGTGTGACAGCAGTAAGGTGTTTCCTTCAGACAACCAGCATGACAGCGATGCTGCCTTCCCACAAGGAGGGGTGGGGTTAGAAAAGGTCGACCCTAAAAATGCGCACCTCACCTTACCTCACAGATTTCCGTCTCCGGCGGTAAGGCCCTTTGAAAAACGGAGCTAACACAAAAATTGCCCATAAAAAGGTCGTGTGTGACCGACCTCAAGCAGTTGTCCCTTGGGCACTGCGGTCACGCTCCCAGGTCACTAAGACCACTTCTAATCCGATTTCCTTTTCAGGTACCTCTAGAAGAACCGTTCCACGGTATGGTCAACCAGGGAGTGATAACCGCCCTCATACCTCTAACAGCACTCAAGACCACTGACTGATCGATCGATAACGTTACAAATTTTGATTTGAGTTATGTTGGTATTAAATCCCAAATTGTAATGACAACTAGAACATTAATGATCTAGTTACTACTACTATCACCATATTTATTCATGACTAAAATGCTTCAAATAAGTAGGAAAATTTTTAAAACAAAATACCAACTAACATTTGATTCAGAGATCACATTGAATTTGATATCATCGAATAATAAATCTGTATCATCTTTATTCATAGATTTATTGTAATTAGTAGTCAAGAGAGTATTTGATGTTTGAGGGCTTTTCTTTGATGTAAATTTTTTTGTCACAGACGAATCACCAATTATTGATGTGTTGGTTGTTATTGGTAATGAAATATGTTTGGTTGTTGTTTCTTGATAAGTTTTAATATTCGAAGGATTCTATAAACAAAGAATGTATAGTAGAACTGTAGTCAATATCATCAAGAAGAAAAAAACACAACAATAATAGAGTATTAACATAGAATGTTTGCAGGAAGAAGTGTAATTTTTTAATAGTGCTGCTTTATTTTGACTAAATGAATGTTTAATTTAGTCAGTTACAACGTAGAACCTAGTATGTATGTACAATGGTTCAAATTGCCATACCAAATTAGCATAGAGAGATTAAATTGTCAGGTAAAAGCTAAGAATAGTGAAGGCAGTAATAGTATCAATGATGATTGAAAAGCTTAGGCATCGAACATATGATTCGAGAACAAGACATAAATTAGTGAAATAAAAACACAAAAAAGGTTATAAGGAATTTATAAGCTCAGAATTTGGAGGGAGACAAAGAATAGATGAACCTGTACCATCGCAAACTATTTTGAGCCATATCATTTAAAGTCTCTAACCATTAGTTAAGATAATCACGTGGATTCCGACTAAGTGGTCTACACCTAATAACATAGCTCAATCCAATTATTACTGACTTCATGGACTAGTGTTATGTTTTGGTTTGACGCCCTAGCTTTCTTCCAGCTAACTCCTACACCAAACAGCATCGCCTGCTGAGGTAAGTAGTGATAGCTTTCATTTTTGTTCTGTCCAACGACATTGGGAGTTAACATTCTGATTATGCCATAAGTATTATGTCAACTGGTTTAGATGGTCTTCCTACCGACTGGTAGTAGTTATCATCATTTTCATTTAATAATAAATATATTTATCAATAGTTGAGATCATGAGTCAATTGAAGCTTGATGACCATGGAAAACCTGGAAGCACTGGATGGCCGTTTCGTCCTATTGTGGGACGCCTCAGCAGTGCCCATCCACGATACCGCCCCGCGAGGTTCGAACCCAGGACCTACCAGTCTCACGCGCGAGCGCTTAACCACTAGACCACTGAGCCGGCATCCAACGGTATAAATGTTTAACTTCAACCAATACCAATGACGTTTCGTAGCTAACTTTGATCGGTTTGTGATTGCGATGGAACATGAAACAACTAGATTAACGTAAAGGATGCGAACCAAAGATAAAACTCAGGCAAAGCTCATTTATATCAATGAGATAACTTCGATGAGGATTATTACTCATGAGATTATCTGTCATCCAACCATAACATCATACGGAAATCAAATAAGAATCTTTGTATAGTTAACATGAATAAATTAGTGATTACAAAAGGATTTGACAGTTTATTTTGAAAATTAGTAAATAATCCTTCTATGATTTAGCATAATTTGTAACCGAGATAATTAGTAATGCGTAGTAAACACACATCAATCAATCAATAGGTATAACTGATGTACAGTTGGCAAAGTCAGTTGTCATTCTATTTACCTCGTTAACCTGGGCAAAACAGAGGTAATGAGTAACCATAGTCACACACACACACACAAACATACCCATTTATAGAGTGCATAAAGTCGGCCAACAATTGATTATTCTATGCAATCATGACCCACATAGGTCATTCACACAATAAATTAAACAACCAGGCCAATCAAATATTGTTTTAAACATTTTATAATCACATTGGTTGGTGAGATTATCAATTGTGAACATATAGGGAATAACATTAAAACAATTGTGACTTGAATGTATTGTCCCATACCCGCCCACGCATCAATGAAAAATGTACCACAGACACACAATCTGCACTCTATAAACTTGTAGCCTAGTAATGGTAATAATTTTGAAAATGGTAATAATCAGTTATAATTGTTTAATGATGGGTAAAAAAAAGCCAACAATTTGTCCGGTGATTACCATCCTAGTAACGACGATATCACCAGTCTAGATTTAGGTTTGGACGTGAAGGGAAGCGGAAAAGAGGAAGGTCAAAGAACACATTACGCCGGGAAATAGAATCAGATATGAAAAGGATGAATAACAACTGGAAAGACCTGGAAAGGATTACCCAGGACAGAGTTGGATGGAGAGTGCTGGTGGGCGGCCCATGCTCTTCCACAAGGAGTAACAGGCGTAAGTAAGTATAGACTATACGAATATTCGTCAAGATTAGAACGAATAGTTTTAAAGTGATTGAGCGCCGAGTATAGAGAAGTCATTATATGTGAAAATTATATTTGAAATATTTTGATTATTACCCTGAAGAAGTCCAGACAAGTTAGCTGGACGAAACGTTGGAATTAGTTAAATTTCAATCGCTGAGAATATTTCAAATATAATTTTCACATATAATAAGTATGGACTATATTACAACCGTCGGACTAAAGCACTTGAATTTATCGATATTTTCACCCATCTACATACAAACACACAAACACAAACGTAATCGTTGTATTCGTCAATACAGGTCGACGGTCGTCCTAGCCTTGTATAGTTCTTGTATTTTCCTTCTTAAACTATCTGTTTATAGAAGAATTATTCACTTGTTGACCTGGAATAAGTGTCACCCATAAACAACTGAAAATACACCAAAAACTGTGAATGCTTAAATTAAGAAGATTAAAACTATATCGAGATAATAATGAAGGGATAATAAATATTGATGGAATAAATACGATTAAATGACTTGTTTAAATGATTCAATTGATTTTAAATATAGTGTATAAAGTCATATGATTGGTTACCATTCAAACATTAACCGAACATGTTGATAATGACAACGCCCAACAACTTATATTTGTGATTTAAAATAATCAGATAAAGGTGACTAAGTTGTACAAACAACAAGCCAAGATGTGCATGTGTGTGTATATATGCGTCGATGAGTCAAAATTAATACTCATCCCATTGATGATGATACTGTTTTCGTGGGAATGAGTATTCATATATACACACACATACATAAACACTTAACCTGTAATAAAACAAGTACAAATGCCTATTGCCATTTTACAAACGGTTAACCAATATGAGGTTAGTTATGATAGAAATATATACTACTCAAGTGTAAGCTTTACTCATTCTGGTAATGGTAAATCATAACATGTAAAGGAAAGAATAAAAACCAGCAAAAACTCATAGTATTTCGAAGAAATCCAAAACGCAGATAATGAATTCTATCAGTTTATATATATGATTATTGTACAAAACAATTGCCAACATCACTGTTACGTGGTTCACAAGCGATCAGTAATTACTGAGTGTTGTTCTTCCTAATTTTTATTCGGGTTGATCAAAACTGAATGATCTTCTTGTTGCTTCCACTCCGCTATCACCGTTTCAGTTATCTTTTATGAATGAGATGTCCTTGTAAGTCATCCTTGAGTTTTGTATCACTTTAGACAATTTTTTATCGGGCACACGTAAATATCTGTTCTTAGAATTTCCGTTTGTTTGTTACCATGATCATTACTATAGTGGCAACATATCTCTTTATTGGTAGCAAATTACCGGTTGCGATTTTCATTTACATATTTTATTACCAACTCTCTTTTTTCAATGATAGTAGAATTATACTTAACAAATCTGTCTAGTTTTGAGTAGCTATTGAGTAGTTGTTCATTGAGTTCTTTGATATAGTTTGTAGTTGTCTAACCTGGCTCTTTGTATGAGCTACTCACATTTTAAGATTGTTTTCTATTGTGCTGTCAATCCCTTTGTATATAATATTGTCCTGTTCCTATTTGACTGTTTTCTATTTGTTTAGTCTGTTTTTATTTTCATTTATTTCAGGTAAGTTTGATAATTTGATGTCCTCTTATAATTGATTCAGTCTATTCAAATCACGGACACCTTTGCTCTATATATGCCACACTGATATGTCTTCAAGGTATCTTCTAACTAAACCATATCATGTCAGTAATTTAAACCTATTTCGTTATTATGATATCTAAGAACCACAAGTTATAAGCAACCGACGAGAACCAATTAGTCAGTAACAACATAGAGCTTCGTACGTACGTACATCAGTTCGAGTTGCCATACCACATTAGCACAGAGATACGACTGTCGATTCAATTCCCGTAGTGCTAGAGGTAGTAAAAGTATAAGTAGTAATCGGAAAAATTGCTATCTTTACAATAACAAAGGGAACTGTGTATGACACCAATACCATTATTATTATTATACACACGTTCAGGATCCAATTTAATAACTTCGTTATTATTATTAATGTTTACATTTTTTCTCAGAGTAAGATTAATTAAATCTCTTAAACTAAGCAATGCGGTCAAACTGCCAGTCAATAATAACAATAGAGCAAAGTACAAATATGTGTTGGTCCAAGTTGCTATAACTCCGCCTGGAGCCCCTCTGGGGCTACTGCCGATCCCAAGCCCGGATAATGGAGGAGGGTCGGACATGGGGTTAGCGACTCCATCCCGTAGAAAACTAACTCGCTAAGAAACGCTAGCCAGAAAAAACTATTCAAACCAAGTTGCCATATGATACATTACGAAGATTAAATAAAATTAACAAGATGAATGGTAACGGAGTCGAAATAATCATGGTATATATATATATATATATATATATATATATATATATATATATATATATATATATATATATATATATATATAAACCTGGTACGTTAACCACTTGTCAGTCTGAAAATATTTTGTTTTCTACAAGATCTGAAAATCCTCGGTTCAACATATTAATGTGTGTTTAAGGGGAAACACTGAAAAGTAGTCTAAATCCAAATTGAAACACATCTATCTTATATCCATCTGTTCTCCAGTAATTTTACAATTTTAGCAACGAATCAATTAACACAGATTTTCACAAATTCTCTAACTAAAACTATTCACGATAATTGGTAACCCAGTTAGAGTAGAATGAAACATTTTAAGACTTGTTCGTTAGATGAATATTTAAACTAACTCAGGGTTACAAGTTCGAATACAATGCTGTTTTATCTTTTACAAAGTGATTACTGAACTACAACATGATTGTATATACAAAACAAATAAAGTGATAACTTACAATTTGCAAAGTATTCGATTTATTGGATTTGTATTTTTCTTCAGATACAGTAAAATCGTGAAATGATTGAGAATCAGAGAGATTATCTATTGTATAAAAAGAATAAACCATTTTAGAAAAAAACCCAGATTTTATACTCTACTAATGAGATATCAATTCAATCAGTGAATGAATGAGGATCAATAGTTACCTCTCTCTCTCCCTCTCTCTCGACAATATCTTATTTCGTATTGAAATGTAGGAATATTAGATGATAAGCTGTGTGACTAAAATGATGCATTCTTATGTACATCGTTAGTAGCAATTAACAAAATTCTAAATAGAGAGAGAGAAAGAAACTACAGGAAAATGAAACAGTAAGACTGAGATCGTGGAGAAGATTTGTAGTTCAGGTGGATGATTTTGATGGAGTTTTGTTCTCTCAGCCGGATAGTTTGGTCGTCGAGATACAATCAAAAAACAAAGAAGTAAACAATGACAGGTTTAAGGTCAACAAGAATCAATCAACATCGAGTTCTACATGACAAGCTGTGAACCATATATGGAGAAATTCGAACACTTAACTTCTATCTGAAGTTTGTGCTGAGGATGTCGTTCAGAAGAACGATGAAAGCTCTATAACCAAACCATCCAGCTCAGAGAACAAAACTCCATCAAAATTAGTAGAACTCGAACAAATGGTAAGCAATTGAATAGATGGATACAACTTAAAGGAAGATTTTAACTGAAACCATATTAAAAGGACAGAGTGGAGGTGGTTAGAATAAATAACATAAACTAATAACAATAAACCATTCATTCAAGTCATATGCTAATTAGTTTAGTCATAAAAATCATAAGATTCGATATGTTTACAACACCAATGTTTTCATGTATAATGATTTCTTGTAGAGATATTAAAAATAAATATCATGAAACTGGTACGACAGACTATAATTATGTTGTAATTCAATAAGGAGGAATAATGTATTTGTAAAACCTCAACAAATGAATTTGAAGTAAATCCAACATTTTGCTTAACAATCTAGTCCAATTTTTTTTCACGGAATTATAATCAAACATCAAAATTACCGAATATTTATTTATTTTAACACATAGATATTGCTAAAAAGAGGCACCAAATACATATGAGCCACAGAGATCTCATTTCATATGTCTGAGGGCTGTGATACTGTCCGGGTGCCCAGATCGAAGCAGGTGGTTTTCTCAGGGGGTCACACTCGGAGCATTCGACCTGAAAGTCTCGTTTACAAGGCAGTGGAGCATCGTAAGGAGATGCATTCCCATAGTAGCCGGTGACCAACGATTGATTCATACGCCATTTGTTCACTTAGGATACTGGAGCCCATCTAAACCATTGGTTTGGAATCAGGGTTTTCTAACTTCCCTAGGTAGACTCTCCATATCCACCAACCCGACATAAAGCACCGAACATTAACTTTTCGTCCTCTCAATTTCGTAAACAACAGTAATGCCGTGAGAAGGCAGTGAGTAGGACTTCCCTGGCAGAGGCTGTATACGCGTGGCCATGCGAGAGCATTTTGAGAGGGAGAGCCAACTCTCCCCACTCTCGGCCGTACCAGGGCATTATCGAATATAAACCAGGTGTATGGTTCTTCGGTTAACTGTATACTAAATAGGTCATCCAATCATGTTAACAATGGTTAAAGTAGGTATTTGTTTGAGTGTGTAATGAAAATGTTGGATTTACTTCAAATTTATTCACTGAGATTTTACAAGTACATTCTTCTTTCTTAATGTCTTACATCAACTGGACGCCCAAATACTGTGAAACTAGTGGTTCAAATTTAGAAGGAATTTCTTACATCTACTGTGATTGTTTCAGTTATATATGATTGAAATAGATTATATGACAAAATTACTGAATATGACTGATGAGAACCTACGTTTCACTACTGAATCTATTCACTAATTTCATTATTAAACTACTATGTATATTCAAAATAGTATAACAATTTACTATTGATTGTAAACATTTGTTTTGCTCCTTGTTGTTATTAATCAAGATTGACCTTTGATCAATCTGGTAATATATCAACAATGGAATAATTACAAACAATTTCATTCCTGGCCACCGGCCAAGTTTAGTAGCCACCTGGAATTGGAAATTTAATAGATAACGCATTGATGTATGACACCTGAACTACTATCAGGTTCAAGCCTAGATGTGAATATCAACACTGTAATAAACAGGTATATCCAACTGATGAGCCGTGAGAGGAGTGAAACACCTAAACTATTTCATATTGTTTAGAAATGTAATAAAAATAACAACAATAATAAGAACGATAATGCATTTTTTGTGAGACTATAATTTATGGATGACCTTGAGCGACGCCAGAGTGACTTAGGGCTAAGTGAGGGTTGTAAAGCTGTTTGGAAAATAAGGATTATGATTCACAGTTGATAGTTGGAGTTAGGAATTAGATATACAGTTTTTCATTACGAACTGACATAAGCTAAAATGTCAAGATGCTATTTGGTCAAATGGGTGAGTGAATTACGCGTCAAAATTCAGGACCTGATATCTTAAATCTGATTGCTTCGTCTCTCCACAAATCTTAACTCCGAGAGATGGTGCAACACAGTGGCTAGAGACGTTATCAGATATGGCTCAGAATAGAAGCCAGTGGCGATCCTGCTGTAACCTTTTACTTTCTTCATAAAAAGTGGTTGTGTCTCCCTTAACTGAAAGATTTCTTCTGATTGTACCTGTCTGTTCCGCCATTTTTACCATTATTATTATTACATTATCTTACATCAATCTCTTTTTTTCCTCCTTCCCCTTAAATTCTCATTGTTTTGTGTGGCGCATATATATTTGGCGCATTCTTGTACCAATATTTATGTGTTCAAATAAATAGATAAATAAATAAATAACCATCAATTGTTTGTTTTCACTGTGTAATTAAATGAAGGTCAAATAAATCCCGCCAAGTTTATGTAATAGATTTTTATTACTTATTTAAATGAGATTGACTGAAGAAACATGTATATGAAAAGGTTAACTAGAGAGATTACCTGTTTGTTTACAAAAACGTTATCAGGAAATCTTGAGATTATTTGTTTATTCAATTCCTTTCTGAAATACTCCGCCATCTTTCTTTCACCTTTTTACAAAAATAAACCTAATTACACTGTTTCTTCAAGTGTATTTTCTATCAACCTAGTTTTGTTTGCATTATGCAAATAAGATTACCATTAATATAAAATAAAAGTGTCAACAGTTCATCTCAACGATAAAATCGTCATTACTGACAAATAGGTTATTTGTTTCCACAGTTGAATTCACAAGTCGATCTAAGCTAGACCACTATTGAAAACCTGGAAGCACTGGATGACCATTTTGTCCTAGTATGGGACTCTTCATTAGTTTGATTATAAATTATCAACATTGAATTTGTTTCAGCGTATTCTTGAAATTTTTATACGCTTTCTAATCATATGAAAGCTAGCTTCTTGGTTCTACAGACATCATGGGAAACTAATTGCCGAGGTATATTACTTCATTGTCGACAAATTTGTATCTGAAGCCCTCGTTACTGACTTCCCAGACGCTTTCTATCACCCTAGACTACTTTCTACATGTCAATTTGAACAAGAGGTTAATTGTGAAGGGAAACTCGAGTGTGTTTATAAAGTTTTAAGCGCCTTAGTCTCTTAGAAACTTCTGGAAACACTAGATATTGGTAACAATATAAGTAATTATCCAATCAAATGTGATACATAACCCCTCACATTTCTGGATGCTTCTGAGAAGTTTCTATCTAATGGTACCTGGATAAAACATTTCCTGGTGCTATCCCACCCTCCAGAGATTCTGTTGAGCGATATTTGTCGAGTCCTAACAATTCGATTCGGCCATAATTGATGTTACTAAATCTATTCAGTTACTTCACATTACCTAAGATAAAACGAAGAGCTGAAGTAGGTAAGTTGTGAGACAATGTGTCACATTTTTACCTTCTACTTTATATATTTTGGTTTCGGAACAAATCGGTAGTGTTAATATTACTGATGTATCATACAAAATGTTTGGCTTAAAACACTGTTCTTTTGAGTACTATATTGTGTTGAATTGAATCACCTTTTTTGTTAACTGGAGGTCACAAAGTTGATTCAAAACAAAGATACAATTGGGGAGTAACAGAAATAATATATTCAATGAACGTTAGTTATTTTATCTAAACTGAATTTAGGAAGAAAATTTATAGGATGATACCTAAGCTAGGACGATTTAGAAAAAAAGAATAAAAATTATGTGGATACGCGTCAAAGCAGTTCAGTTTTATTCATACTACCTAAAATATTTATGCTATTGATTGCCTCCAAATGCCCTAGTACGGCCGATGGTGGGGAGAGTCAACTCTTCCTCTCCAAATCCCCTAACATGACCATGTGCATACAACTACTGATAGCGAAGTTTTATTCACTGCCTTCTCACGGTATTAATGTTGTTTACGAAATTCAGAGGATGAAGAGCGAATGTTCGGTGCTAAAACCTGGTTGGTGGATATGGAGGATCCACCTAGGGGAGTTGGAAAACCCTCATTCCAAACTAATGGTGCAAATGGGCTCCAGGATCCTAAGGAAACAAATGACGTATGAACCAATCGTTGTTCACTGGCTACCATGTGACTGCATCTCCCAACGCTGCTCCATTGCCTTGTGGATCAGACCTTTAGGTCGAAGGTTCGAGGTGTTACCCCCTGAGAAAATCACCTGCTTTGATTTGGGCATCCGGGCGGTAGCCCAGCCCTCACACAAATCGAATGATTTATGTGGCGCATATATATTTGGTGCCTCGTTGTACCAATGTTTATGTGTTTAAATAAATAAATAAATAAATATGCTATTGATTGGCGGCCAGTTGGGAGGTTTGAAACCAGAAGTTTGAACACATAAGAATGTTAATGAAAAAAAGTGTAAACAACATTATTGAGTAGTTTTTCACAATAGTAATTAAGAATAAGTATAGCACTGGTTGTTTTACGATGTTCTTAAGAAGAAACGTTTATACAGTTTATATATCTGAGTTATCTATTTAAAATATGAACTAAATTTTGATATAAAAACAATCAATATAAGATTAATAGCCTTTCCCTTCCTGATCGAACAATTCAGTTTAATTGTTAGAGGTTAATTACTAAATCAATTCATGAATTACAAACAATAATCAACCTATACGTAGATACACATACATACACAGATGGGATTGGATCTTGGTTTTATAACTAACGGGAGCAATGGGATCATTAACTATTTCGTTAAGTAGATAATGATGAAATGAACAAAATTGTATTAGAGAGGAACATAAATTGTCAGCCACTATTTACCGATAATATATATGTGTTTTCAATTCTCAAAGAGATAAAGCACGTTATACAATGAAATGGTAAGTGTAATTATGTTTATGGATTATGAGAGGAATAAAAAACAAACAAACCGTTGATGAGTAACAAAAAGTAAATAGAAGGAGAGAAATAATTGTATTCACTACGATGGTGTGTGTGTGGAAAAATTAGAGAGATACAAAGGTGAACTGTTAGTTACATAATACAGACTATACAAACAAAAATATAGTTCATATTTGATTAATTTCATATCAAATAAGTGAATAGACTAGAATATATTTTTACATGAAGTTGAATTGATTCATACTTACATGACAAGTTTTAATGTTAAGTCGGTTAATTTAAATACGTTTTAGTAAATTATAAGAACTGAATTGTTGAATGTCTGTTACTATATGAGCTCCTAGGATGGATACTTCAATATTATTTACATTTTGCAAATTCATTATATAATGTGATTGGCAACAATTGCTAGGATATCATTAGATCTAAGTTTCATGTTAGCTAAAACTATGTCACACACTGTAAAGCTGAGTGATATGAATTCGAATGACATAAAACAGAATCAGTTACCTCAAAAATGCAGATAAGTCTTCTAGATGAGTGAGTAACAATTAGCAAGAAACTGAGGTTTACAATTTCCTACCAAATACATTAAACCACTTAATAGCAAAACTTAGTGCAGGTGATGTGTCAAGGCATTTAGACTAGTGAATATATTGCAATCTAATCGGAGAGTACTAAGAAGGACTAATCACAACTAATTGATCACTGAGTGGTGATCAATGTCATGTGTGTCAATTCCTTCTTAGTGCAAATCGAATACTATCGACCAAGTTGCAATGTGGCCATTATTCTAGGTGACTCGACACTATGTTGAGATAAGATGGTGGTTGAAGGCCTGGATAGCTGTGGTAAACGTCTCTGACTGTGAAGCTGGGTGACACGGGATCGAATCCATCAGGGAGCACCAGTTCCCTCAATATTACAGGTACACCTTGCTGACGAGTGCTAAGTAGCATGAAACCCGGGTCGAGGGTTTCCTGTTGACTATTTCCAACCACCAACTTAATAAGAAGGACTACACACACTAATTTAATCGACGTTAATAAACAAATCAATTGAACATATATATTATAAAAGAAATTATTCTAAAATAATTAACAAAAATGATATTCAGAAAGAAAATTGATAAACTAACCATTCAAATCAACCATTTTACTAACTAAACCAATGTCACCAAATGTTCGACCATCTGAACCAACATGACCAATATGTCGAAAATCATTTTGTGGTGAACTTATTTGATCTGCAGTTAATTTGATACGTGAACGTGATGTACCACTACTACTACTAATACTACTATTATTATTATTACTACTATTGTTATCGGTTGGATTGATTAAACTGAATTTGCTAAGTCGAGAAACAGTTTCTATATTGAAAATAAAAAAAAGAGAAAGAGAAAATAAAACTAGAAAAAAACTATTTATACATAAACGAATATGTTAAGAAACACTTAAGGATATACAGATAAAGAGATTCATCACAGGAATTCTCTTATCGTGGTTATTGTTCTGTGCTCCTTGATTTTCTTATCTTCCTTCTAGCTGTAAATGAATAAATAAACATTGCAAACTAGAGTAAAATTGCCTTACATATTACTTATTTTTCGTTTTTGTAAGTGTGATATATGAGTTCTTCCTCCTTTATAAATAGAATGCTGGTTACTAAATATAGTGTTATAATTAGCAAAAATTAAAAAGTCGACTATATATCTCAGTCGGATGTGATAACTACATGTTATGTTATCTCTTACATTATTGCATCTTCAATAGATTTTATTCTCGTTTAGAAAGTAGATGCAATACAGCTCTAAACAGTGACAGTAGATGCCAGTTAATATTGTACATAAAGCCGTCGTTCTAAAACGCTCATAACGTATTTAGAGCGCTTTCCCAACGTATTAATGTTCTTCACATACTACTTGGTAGACACAACCCTATATGAATTAACCAATTTCATAGGCATTTGTCAATTTATCCGATCATTTGAAATCAGGTATATAAGTTGTTCGATGAGTATTTTATCCAAAAGAATTCAAGAATATTATCCAACATGGTTGAAGAGAGGTGGGAATAGCTCAATAAGAAGCTGTGTAATCGAACAACTCGTGAACATAGATTATTCGATCAAAACGGACTCGGAGTTATTTACACAGTAAGTAAAAAAGCTGGCAAAGGCAGTTAGCTTCTATCGTTTTAGAATCGCCGAAGCACTAGCTATACATTTGAAGAAACTAGAATTATATGTACAAAAGAGACTGGTTTGACCTTTGCTCCTACCATGTTATAAATCTCTAGTAACTGTTTTCTATTTTTCTTTCATAGACATCTGCTTCTCGTCTATTTTTCTTTCTATAGACTTTTATATTTCTATGATTTTCTCAATTCCAGCATTCTATCTTGTCATGTTAAACCTTCCCTTCCCGATTATAATCTCCATATCTATTTTCATGATGAATCTTCAAGCTCTAAACAACAAAATTAGCATTAGTTTCCTTAACAAAAATTAATGTTTTTCGGACGTTCTCTATTTTACCTCATTATTACCATTTTTAGAAAATTTTCTGTTATTACTATTATTGTGATTGTTATCATTTGTGATGGTACAGCTTTGATATAACACTTCATCAAAAAGAAAACGAGAACTCTTTGCTGAACCATTTTATTTCTTATTTAACAAGATTTCTTTATCAATGTCAAATACTAAATTAGTATCAGAAGGGGTTTTGTGGAGATTTTAGTGGTTTCAATAGTTGAATTCAGGAGTCAATTGAAGTTAGACCACAATGGAAAACAAGGAAGCATTGGACGATCGTTTCGTCCCATTGTAGGACTCCTCAAAAGTGCACATCTACGGTACCACTTCGCGAGATTAGAACCCAAGACCTATCAGTCTCGCGCGCGAACATTTATCCTCTAGACCACTGAGACGGCCAGCATCCAACAGTGTTAATGTCTAACTTCAACCAATCCACGAAATTGAGCCACACATCCACCATTGTCTTCAGTGAGTTACTATCTCACAACAGACCCGGTTGAACTCCATTGGTCACGGCTTTTCACTAGAACTCCAGGAAATATATCTTGAAGCCAGTCACTAGTGAGCATATGTTGGTTAGTATCAGGAGTTTTATGGAGACTTTAGTAACTTCAGTAGTTGAGATCATGAGTCAATTACTAAATACTAAATTGATGTCACCTTTGATTATGAATTTCGCTTCCATTGTACATTACACATGTATTAAGGAAAATGTGTGAATCAAATCTTTTAAAATAATCTACTATCATCTTTTAAATATTCCCTTATTTTTTATATCAACCTGATAATACCTGTAAATTACCGTGCATTTAGTAATTATTTCCAAAATTAAATACAGAAAAACACAATTGAATAAACTCTAACATGTATTTAGCGCAAGCATAAATTGGAGGTAAAACGCGATAGAGAAGACAAACAGTAAAACCATTCAATCATTAACGTATGAAATACATGCAATCTAATGATACTGTGGTGTGAACTACTTATATCCACATAAGTAGTATATGACGATAGTCCGGAATAGAATGTATTTCAGTAGAAGATCGAGAAGGAAAGAACGGGAACGGAAAGCGATTGATATGAAAACGCAGGAACAATGAAATCTGAGACGATGGAGTGATATTTGCAAAAGAAACAGTCAAGTTTGAGAAAATGGATTGATATTTTCCAAACTATTTACTTTATGGTTCTCAGATTTTAATAAGATGTTCTTTAAGTTTGCGATCAAATATATCGATTATCCCCACTCGTGTTCTTGTTCACTATAATACTACTTAAATTCCTTAACTTGTAATAAAATGCTTCATTTAAATTCCCTTGGTTCAATGAAATAAATTAAGTAAAGTGAAGTCCACAAAGAAATGTGTTATAATATGTTTATTGAAGCTATAATGATAGATGACGAGCAGTTTGGTATACGTTCATTCAGGTCTAAATGCGAAATGTTGTAACAGGACCGGTCATCCTCAAAGCCTGAACTACTCATAAGGATTGAATCAGCTTCTCTCGTGAAGTTAAATTACTTGACTTGGAAGTCTCATCATCCCTGATGAGCTGGTGTTTGAAGAAATTTCGGCAGGAATTTAGAATGGATTCGCCAACTTGTATCTCTTGTGATGCAGGTGAAATGGCCATCTGCTAACTAAAGGATGAGTAAACTGTGCGACAGTTTGTTCTATTTTATTTTATTCCTGGGAAACATATGTGTTGATACAATCATCAGCATGTACTTCAAAGAGAAGTGACCTATTGAGAATTTCTGTTGACCTGACCAAACTAATTTCAAATCAAGAACACCTCTAACATCCTTATCATGTGATGCAAATATTTTCCATCATTTCATACTGAAACACCACCTATCTCAACTTGCACCTTTGGCTGGTGTAGAAGTAGATTGGAAAAAAGTTAGGAGAAGCAAACCAAGATGTCCATGAGGTCATTGAGAGTCTCAAAAGAGGAGTGTAGGTAGGTCTAGACAACCTGGCTGTAGTTCGCGCGACTATCGTAACCAATGATTGGAGATGTTGTGCGATATGGTTTAGAATCGGTCGCATCAGTGCAGATCTATTTTTCTCATACTTTTAATGCTTGAACTATATATCTTTTTTACTACGACTAATAATGTTATAACTATTACTACTCTGAGATTTATCTTGATAATTTCATTTTACTGTGTTGATATGAATCGATGCACATATATGTCACATTCCATGACAATATTGTCTTTCTTTAGGTAACCTGAAAGTACTAGATTTGATTTTATACGTCTTGGGAGTACAGTACAAATTTAGATAAAGCATTTGTCAAATGAACCTTGTTCTTCAAACATTTCTCCAGATGATATCAATTAATAAGAATAAACATCTTCGACTTACAGTCTTCTCTTCATGAAAAATCTTCGACAGTATTAATATACTTGAAAAGGAAAGGAAATAATTGAAAAATTCAATTTAAAGCAAACTTCCAAATATGGAAGTAAGCAATGTTATAAAGTGAAAGTGATAGAAAAGGAGGAATTGGATAAGAGATAATGTGTTTGTGTTTATGCATGTAAATTTCCAAAAATAAGACTATCGAACAATCTATTATGAAGTGTCAATTCATAATATGTGCAAGATATATCATATATCTAAGAGAGAAAGCTATTAACATAACATATGTTAGTTTACAACATAGTTTCACATTAAACAGATAATCAGAAATAAAATTTGTAAATAGTAAAAGAGGAAAAGTGAAACGACTGTTGTATCAATCAAGTTTCAATATTAATATGTTATATATACCTCTTCGTGAAGGAATAAGTATCATTAGTAATAACTTCTAAATATTTACTATTATTAAAATATATGAACTAATTCATTTGTATTGGTTGTTTGAATCCCGGCATGAATATCAACTCTAGGATGCAGGTAAATCTAGCTGACAAGTCCCAAATAGGATGAAATGCTGAGATTGATACAAATATGGTTTTGCACATTAATACTCCTTAGTGGTAAGAATCATTAGAAACGATTTTTTTTTACCAAAAAGCGATAAACTAGTAGGAAACAATAGCGGCAATAACTGATAACATTCAACGATGCGGACATGGGTTAGAATTCCACTTCCGATACATACTTTACCGCCAAATGTCCTGGTACGGCCGATGGTGGGGAGTTAGCTCTTCCTCTCCAAATGCTCTCACATGACCATGTGCATACAATTACTGACAGGGAAGTTCTATTCACTGCCTTCTCACGGCATTACTGTTGTTTACGAAATTCAGAGGACGAAAAGTGAATGTTCGGTGCTTTATTCGGGTTGGTGGATATGGAGGATCTACCTAGGGGAGTTGGAAAACCCTGATTTCAAAACAATGGTACACATGGGCTCCAGGATCCTGAGCGAACAAATGACGTATGAACCAATTATTGGTTACTGGCTACCACGAGACTGCCTGTCCTGACGTTGCTCCACTGCTTTGTGAATTAAACCTTTGGGCCGAAGGTTCTGGGTGTGGCCTCCTAATAAAACCACCTGCTTCGGTCTGGGCACTTGGGCAGTATCACAATCCTTATACAAACCAAATGAGATTTGTGTGGCGCATATGTATTCGGTGCCCATGTATACCAATATTTATGTGTTCAAATAAATAAATAAATAAACTTATGGGTTAGTTGAAGACAAACTGAAGATGGACATCTCTTGGCATCCGAAGTATTAAGAAAGGGAAATCCAAATAGGTTGATGAAGAAAAAAAATCGTTTCACAATTATATCTCATCAAGATGTCAGAATATTTGGGTGAAAAAGATTTATATTTACATATAAACACACAATATCCATTAGCAAAAACGAGAACATTGTGACATTGTCATTATTTTTTCATATAGTGCAATATTTGGCCAATAGATGATAATAAGATGAATAAACAATCAATCAATCAATGATAATACAATGGCATTATCTAATATAAATCATCATTGCAAAATACTTTCAGTATAAACTATTTTCAATCAGTTTACTTTATGCAAAGCAACAAAAATTAAATTTTGGCAAAAAAAAGAAGAAAGCGCATTACTGTTCCCGTTAAATCTATAAACATAGAAGATAACTCACTGCGTAAAGCCAAATCTGTTAATGAAGCTAAATTGAAATTGAAATAACAATTGATCACAAAAATCATTCTTTTTTTCTTTAGTGAAGGAGAATATTGACACTAATTAGAGAAAGGTATCCATCGAAGACAATGATAGATGGTCATGTATTATTGTAAACTAATTGGAGTTAGACTTGTAAACCAATGGCTCCTGGCTCAATGGTCTAGAGGTTGTGTTCGCGTGCAAGACTGCGGGTTTTGGGTTCGATTCCCGTCGGCAGAGTCGTGGATACACACTGTTGAGTAGTCCTATACTAGGACGAATCGATCGTCCAGTGCTTCCAGGTTTTCGATGGTTGTTTAACTTTGATCGATTCATAATTTCAATGAAACTCATCAGATGTAGTTGGTATTCTTGTTAAAGATTAACCTCAGTCGAAGTATCACTGGAAAACAGAATAGCACGGGACAAATTTTCGAAAGAGTAAACCCGTTAACCCATCAGCTACCTAACTAAGGATATTTAAACTTTGTAGAAAACTGTCTAGTATTTACTAGTTTTCAATGATAATCTAATTGAGTTCGATTAGGGACGAAAGCAAGCTAGGAATCAAATGCATCACTATAAAACTCTTTTTATGATTAAATTTACGAAAATATTTAGATCACACAAATAGATGCTCTCTAATTTGAATCATAGTAGCAATTGTCGTAAGAGGTGTTGAGAGTTTGAATAAATTATGTTGTGATAAAAGTGATATTCACTCTCCAATTCGATCCAGAAAATGTAGCTATTTGTGAGAAATTGAGGTCTAGTTATTCGAAAATTCTCTTAAAGGCTAAAAGTATGGAAACCACTGAAGTCACCTAAGGTTTAAAATATTATCTGCCTACTCTCTAAATGGTGCTTTCTAAACACAAGACAGATCATACGATGGTTCTACCACATTAATGTTTAAAAGATACCTATGATCTAATTAAATGTAAATTTCACATGTTTCTATTGACTAACCATGTCTCATATATGTGGTACCAATAAAAATGATTTCGAAAAATTCGGCTTATATTGGAAAGATAAAAATATATTTTACACAACGTCAGTCGAAAGAATAAAACTCGTGTTATTGATAACAACAAAGAGAAAATTAAACAAGAATGATTATCTCGACTAACCTCTTCGACTCATACGTAAACGTGTTTTCGCTACTAACCCCATAGTATTTGGTGACGATGTGGCAGTATTATTAGTAGTTAGTGTATGACGATCGCGGGTAACAGATGAATCATTCCCAGGGGAATTATATGGTTTTAAAATTCCCGATGGAATGCAGCCTACAAGTCCCGTACGTAAATTTACCACTTTCCATGTGTTACTACTTCTACAAGAGAGGAAGAATTAAGTCAAACAAAAGCTATTTGATAAGAAAAAGTAAATCAAACATTTACAATGTTATAAATAAACATGTAGGTTGTTTTATAACAAAGGAGACTGTTCAATGTTTAGTTCATGCCTAGAGGAATGATATTTCGTTAGATAACTATAGAAAGACAAGAGCTATTGAATGACTATTTTGTTCTAGTATGAGATTTCTCAGTGAACTGTCCATCTTTCCAGTAGTAAAATCCAGAACCTCCGGGTCTTGAGGCAAGCACCTATCCTTCAGGCTACTACATTGGGATACAATAGTTTACATTCCTGACATCACTAAATTCATAATAACGTTGTCAGCGATACCTATCCCACTTCCGACATGATTCAACTCCACTGATCACAGCTTCTCGCTACAACTCCAGGAATCTCTTTTAAAGTTAGTCAATTAGTAAACACATGGTTATTACTACCATAGACTTTAATTTATCGGATTACAGCAGGAAAGGCTATATCTCCAAATATAGTTCACGTATTACCAAGGGGAGAGTAGACAGCCTTGTCTGACTCTGGTCCTCACTTGAAATGTATTTGTCAGCTGTCCACCATGTAAGACTTTGCACTGTAGTCCGTCATATGAGTTCCGGATAATGTTGACAGTTCTCTCAGAAACTCCAGTGTCGAAGTTTCTATAGTGTTGGATGGAGTGTTAGTGGGTGGCCTATGCTCCTGCACGAGGAGTAACAGGCGTAAGTAAGTAATTACCAATCAGACTCATGACGAATTGATACTGTTTTAGTATGTCACTACTCTAGAGTTAATGTGAAAAATATATATAACATAGTACATTAATACAATGCATATGACAATGAATATAACTTAAATCTAATGAAACTTTAACGAAAATACGTGCTTGTTTTCTCCATGATACTCACAGGAAGCTTTAAAAAACCAAATTCATTAAAATAACTAAAACAGTGACATTTGTAAGGTGACGGAAGGTAGTAATAGCAAGAAAGCCTTGTAGTTAGGTGTCGTGCTGGTTGCCTACTTGTCAGTGAGAACTCCATTAGTACTAAAGACTACACAAAGAGTGACATTACCTACTAATAGGTGATTAATTACATTTAATGTACTAGCACTACAGGAGGTTAATCGAGACCCGAATAGCTCAGTAGTAACATTTCTAGCTACGTCACTGGTTGGTATGAGTTTGAATGCCACGGGGAGCATTAGTTCCGTAAAGATCCCAGATACGTCTAGCTGACAAGTCTTATCAGGTATAAAGCTTCGGTCAAACAATGTTTGTTGAGCACTAAAAAAATTAGACAAACATAATATTGGTCGTTATTTAGTAATCAATCAATAGAAAATGGTATTTATTCGGAATATTTATCAATATAAAGATAACTAATTCATGTTTGATAGCGTTAAGAGAAAAAAAAAGTTGTTTAACTGTGAACTAGACAGGATGACACAACAATAAAACATCTTGTAGAAAAGTATTCAATTACCGTTCTGTAATTGTGTAACAGATGAAAATCAATTACCCTTTAAACAGTATAATATTACTTGATAATCATAAGTAGAAAAGTGAACAAAAACTTGTAACTTTTAGTGTGAAACTTAATAGATAGAATACTGAAAAGAAAAAAACTTAACAAACCTTTTGCCAAGTATACAAACTGTTTCATTTGCTCTAATAAACAATGGACGACCTAATGAACGTGTTCCATGTGGACGAAAACCAGGATTATATGGGAATTCTTCACCTGATGTACTAATTGTATCCAAATTTGAATCTGTATCAGGACGATATTCACTTGTGGTTATCCAAATTTCTGGACTAAGACGTGGAAGCATACCTGTATGTGTAAATCAAATACATTAATAATTATAATAAAGTGAAAATTAAAGTAAATAGTACTTTATTTAGATTAGTGAAACTACAGTTGCTACTTTCTAATAGTCATGCTGTCTGAATTTAAATTAACGTATTATGCCATTAAACATTACAAATTATAATTCTCTTTGAAATAACAATGTTATAAACGTAAAACTCTTATATAAGGTTGATGATGCAATAGAATCAATCATGGTCTATTCCTTTAATCTAGATAAATGAAGAATATGATTGGAATTTGTTGATAGATTGATTAACTGTAAAAAGTTCAATGTCCAAAACAATTTAAATGTTTTGTTAGAAAAAGCAACAACATCCAATCAAAGATTGAGATCAGCTTCAAAAGTATTGAAATCAAAGGAGGAGAGTGGATAAATTAACACCATTAAATATGGAATTTAAATCAAATGTTGAAGTATTTGTAACAAGTATGATAATGTTAAGTAATGAAGTTTAATTCTAAAGGTTCATATAGATCTGTAACTAAGGACGTGTGTAATGAATGAACATTCAGATGGGGACAACCAATTTATTATTCAATGCAAAATCACGGAGTTTTTCCATAAAATGCGACAACTATACATTAAATATTTCATTTGCAAATCTTCCATCAATGGTCTCAAACCCCATCGTTCCTTCACTGCTATTACAACTACTTTATGTTTACATTACCGTTCTCTTCAATTAGATCTCAAACTTCTGCTGTCACGCAAACCATTTATGATCAGCGTTACATACTACTTATGTCTGTGGACATAAGTAGCCTACACCGCATATGTATCGGTAACAATAAAGACAATTTTCTAACTATTATTAAGGTGAAAAAGATATTCAAATAAATGGATATACAATTGTATCTAGTGTGATAGAAATAAGTAAACAGTTAACAAGATCAACATAAACGTTTTCATAACAGGCTATCATTTTAAACCTTCAATCAGATTATTTTTCTATTAGTGATAACAGATTTATATCCTGTAACGAGGTGCATAAATTAAATAAACATGTATGACTGAATAAAGTAAAAAGTGAGGAGAACATGAATTAGTTGAATTTTCTACACAAATCATATACGTTTACATGTATGTACAAAAAAAAGAGCATAATCTTTAGAAAGCGAAAACACAATATAAATTGCAAAATAAACAAACAATAATACTAGAATAATTGATGAATAATTAATGTTTAGCTATCAGGACTCCGTAGCTAAGTGGATACTGCGTTGATGTTTGAAGCGGACAGTACAGGGTTCGAGTCCCAAAATGAACATCAACTCTGAAATGCAAGTACATCCAGCTGATGAGTCCCAAATAGAACGAAAAGCGCGTCCTGTATTCCATTGTTAGCCACTATCCATCTTTGCTTAGAATGCTTGTAAATTAAGGCAATACGCACAGTATGTACATATGCTAATAAGAGACTGATCGAATGCAGTCCTAAACATCGATGGGAGGATTCAAGTAAACAATACCAAGTGAATTTAAATTCCCGACCGAAGCTGCTACTTTGACGCGGTGGTCGGGCTTGCCTATCGTGATGACCCAACCGAGCTATATTGGCTGGAACAACTGTTCCTGTAGGTTCTACCATGCCAGGCAGGTCGATTGGAGAACGTTAAGACTAAAAGCAGCAACTCAAGGTTGAAGGGCGAAGTCGTACTGCTGACTGTAGAGGGGTGTGACAGCAGTAAGGTGTTTTTCTCGGATAACCAGCATCCGCAGTAATGTTGACTTCTAACAAGGAAGAAAGGGGTTAGAAACGGTCGACCCTAAAAATGTCACACCTCACTTTACCTCACGGATTTCCGTATCCGGCAGTAAGGCCCTTTGAAGAACGGAGCTAACATATTAAAAACCTTCCACGAAAAGGCCGTGCGCGACCGGCCTTAAGTAGTTGTCCCTTGGGCTCTGCGGTCACGCTCCCAGGTCGTCAAGACAAACACTAATCCAATTTCCTTTTCAGGTTCCTCAAGAAATACCCTTCGACGGTGTGGGCAGCCGGGAAGCGACACCAGCCCTCATGCCCGTAACAACACATGAGACCAAGTTGGTCACATTCAAATCCTTCCTACACCTCCTAATACTTCTCTTATCTCCATGACTAACCCTCCTCACGACATGGCTCAAAATCGTTTGAATGGCGCAGGTGCATACACTCTTTGTGTTCTCCCAAATTTTGATCTCCTTATTCCTCCTTGTCTTTTTTTCTCTTCCCAAATTTATTTCACTGTATTATACTCTTTAAATAACATCTCCAAACACTAATTTTGCTGATTACTGCTTATACTCTTATTACCTCTACCACAACGGGATTTGAATCGACCACTGCATCTTTGTGCTAATGTGGTGTGGCAACTCGAACTGATGTACGTACGTACGAAGTTCTACGTTGTTACTGACTGACTGACTGAATTTAAATTAATGTTTATATTCGGGAGAAGATAGATTAATTAAGTATTTGTTTCTTTTCAGTTAAAGAAAGAGATACGAGTCTTGTTGACTGAAGTAATAAATAAAAGTGATTGGATTTTTTTAATTCTAAATATTAATATTATATTAAATGCATGATCTAATAAGTACTGGGATATAAGCGAAATTTTGAATGTTCTCGACTACTTCACTGTTAACGGTAAACATTAGGTACTGGAGCACACAACTAACAAATAAAATACATCAAGTATTTTTTCTGTATCTGTCAATTTAACTGCCTCTATGGAGCAAGTTATATTGGCAGGTGTTCTAGGTATTTGTACATTCGTGCTCGTGAGCACCTGACAATGTGCTTAAACAAAGGTGTAGTTAAAACTGTTAGCAACTACGTTTTAGCTAACTTACTTCAAACAGACCATACAGCCAAAATGAAACAATCTTTCACAATAATATATCGTGTTAACAGAAATAATCTACCTAAATCTGTCAAACTGGAAATCCTACAGATGGCTGAAGCAATTGCTATTCGGATTAAAAAGCCAGAGCTTTGAGTACAAAAGAAGCATGTCCAACCGCTCCTATTACCTTGGCCAACGATCCCGCCCCGCGGGATTCGAACACGGGATCTATCAGTCTCGCGCGCAAACGCTTAACCTCTAGACCACTGAGCCGACCAACATCCAACGGTGTTAATGTCTAACTCCAATTAATCCACGAAATTGAGCCACACATCCACCATTGTCTTCAGTGAGTTACTATTTCACAACAGACCCAGTTGAACTCCACTAGTCACTGCTTCTCACTAGAACTCCAGGAAATATCTCTTGAAGCCAGTCACTAGTAAATATATGCAGATTAATATCATGTTATTTTATATGACAAACAATCTTTGATTCATGTTATTAATTTTAAATGTACTTCGCCCTAAACCTGATCATCATTTGGATATAAGATAGTTGTAGAACCTAATGAGAAATTATTGAAAAGAATATTCTTTATTCATAGAATTGTATTTGAAGAGACACAAAACATAAGACATACATTCAGTCAGTTATAATCAACAAAAAACCTGAGACTAATGTGTGTTGGCTTAAATGATCATGCCATAATACCAAGATTGAAGGAAATTAACGAGATGAGTAGTAAGGGAGCAGAAATAACTACAGTAGTAACAGAAGTGAAAAAGATTGAAGGTTGAAAATATGGTTTGAAAGGTAAGAATAAAAAGATATGAGTAAGAAGGAATATTGAATATTAACATATAAGGGTGGATAAAGGATCATTGCATCTGTGCGATGTTACCATGACTAACACAGACTGTTGAGAGAATCCTACAATTCCTTTAATTAACCAATGAAAAATTAAGAAGTTATCTTCTAAGCGCAAAGTATTCAGTCAGTTAATAATAGACAATGTAAAGCTTATGACAAGTATGTATCAGTTTAACTTGACAAAGGTCATATTCAAATAGTGACAGGGTAAAATGAACAAGATAAAAAAATCAATGATTGAAAATATTATATTAAGTATAAGAGTTTAGAGGGAAGTATGGAATGAATAGGGCTATTACAGATTCTCAGTAGCAGTTTTCTGAAAACCAAGTTGTCAAATGCTTTTAACTGATGTCGTTAAGAATTATAACCAAGTCCAAATAATACGATCCAAAGTTTATTAAAATGGTTCTTAACACAATCTCTCTTTGTTTTGCTCAGAATTTCAAATATTCTATGATAAAATATTCATTTGTTCCTTTCTGATCACTATTTTTCATTGTTTGTTTGTCTGTATGTCTGTCTAACTATTCATAAACTAAACTGAAGTAAAGTGATCAGTTTCCATGATGAATAAGTCATTTCATCAGTTATTAATCAACAATTGAAACTGAAGATTCAATCATAATCAATCAATTACCATTACCTTTGATAAACAGTTTTTATCTGTAGTACTTTTAAGTATAAGTAAAACTATATTGAACAGGTTAGATAGGGTTTTTTTTAATTAACGACACACCAAGGCTACATACGATGAATCAGTACAAGAATACTGGGGTGGCAAGGGTAAGAATGAGCAAAAACTAACCAAAATGGACTACAAACTGAGTAACAGTCAACGCCCACGTTGACAGTATTTAGGTCATTTGATTACTCATATATTTACGTGAATCTATTATTGTAAGTAGACGTTGTGTTGCCAAGGTATCTTAATTTTTCATATCTCAATTGATAGACTAATTATCAGATGGATGAACCGAGTTGCATCTTCATTCCATTTATAGATTATATGTGAAAAATGAGAGGAATTTATGACTGCCAACCGTAGTATACATCAGAATTGAGAAATCAATTTTACTAAGGTTTCCCATGAACCTTGATGGTATGCCGAGTGAGCAGTACGTAGAAAAGATATTACATGTGCATTATTTAAAAATGAAATTCAGATTTAAATAAACCAGTCGCTAGCGATATTAATGTAGATATTTTGATGAATGCAACGAATCGTAGTTTTCCAAAAGTAATCTGTAATTAGAAATTAA